CAAAGTGGTTGAGGAAGCAAAGTGGTTGAGGAAGCAAAGTGGTTGAGGAAGCAAAGTGGTTGAGCTGAGTTGTCAGGTGTGCGAGGCTAGCCCGTGTATTCAGTTTCCATCACCACACGCTTTACTTGTGTTCAATTAATATTTCCGTCACTATACAATATACATGTGCATGTACATGTGCATGTGCATGGACATGTGCATGTGCATGGACATGGACACCGAACTGGGGGAAATCTCCGTCAATAATCACTAGAAGTGGAACCCTAGGGTACTTTAACTGGTCACTTGCTAGGAGAAACTACAATGTCATGTTGTTGGTTGACAGTATGCAACAAGGTGGAGGACATCGTGTTCGGAAACAGTGACCTTTCTACAACCATCCACGGTTTGTAGAGCCCCGGTCGGTTGCGACCATCTGAACCGGGGCTCTACCAACCGTGGATGGTTGTAGAAAGGTCACGGTCTCCTCCACCTTGTTACATGCTGTCAAACCAACAACATGTTTGAACAAACAAGGTGTATCTATTTTAAATACCGAGAAACTACATGTACATGTACATGTACATGACAAACTGCAGAATTGCTCGACACCACGCTGGGACAGGGACAGGGGCAGGGTGAAACAATCTTATCTACAATGTACATAGTCATTGTAAAGAACTGACTTGCTGATACGTACCGGTACTGCAACGGCACGTTCACACACAAGGGGTTCTTGTACATTGTATGTTAATATGTTAGCATCAGGGAGTCGTAAAATACCGGTATTTTACGACTCCCTGGTTAGCATGGGCCAGGGGTGGGCCTGGGTGGGGTGGGGATAAACAACGTTACGACTTAACTTACGTTCATATAATGTACATGATTGTACATGTATGTAAAGCAGCCGAAGAGCATAGCACATATTTATTGGACATAACCATGATAACGCCAGTGTCGGGATTACACTGTGTTCTTTTGATTAGAATGTCCACAAGTCAGAACTAACAGAAGTCAATCAGAGATACTAGCAACACTTACAGAAGTCAATCAGAGATAACCTGAGTAACGCGCAGTGCCTGGGGGACGACTCGGAATTACTACTGGTACTGTGCGAGCGCATTGAGCACTGCTTGTTACTGCCGTACATAGCACATGTAGTGCTACGTCATCAGTACATATACACGTAGAATTTAAAGGCTAGATTCTCTCCGAGATAAAAAGAAATGTAGCACATACGACCGCCAATGTGACCGCAAAGCAAAACCTCCCCTGTATGCGAATCATGCACGCACGCAATGGTATTTCTGCAGGACTGTCCTGAAGACGTAAAGGGATCAGCCCTTTGGTTATGTCATACACACTGTACATTGTCCTACAAGTAGTCTGGCCTGACTGCTGCACTGGGCCGATGCCGATGGGAGAAAGACGCGCAAGTGAATCCATCGGATCACAGAACAATACCATTTTGTTCTAATTTCTTCCTGTAGTGCATTCACTTTGGCCACACACCCAACCGGCACAGCTTTTGTACTGCAAAAACGTAGAAGAACTTGCTGGAAAATACTGGAGTAAGTGAAGGAGCCGCGGCACTTGACTAGAAAGGTCTCGATGAAGAGTTTCAATGATAATGCCTGGATTAGGCAACCTGCATGCCTTTGGCTAAACTGTAATACTGGTGAACGTTTGTGCATGTACCGACAGTGTACATGCATGCTGTGGCAAGCCTCCTCACATAGACCATTGTATTTGTAGACGGAGGAGCAGAGCGCAGAGGGTGCAGCTGTTATAGAATTGCTCAGGCACAAGCACCCGCACATTAGGCACTTCAGGCGGTTGTGGCTCGTTCAAGAAACAATAAAGCCATCAGGGAAACAGGCCAGGCAGCAGCTCAACGACATCCGCTACATTGTTGTGGTGTGCAACAAGTAGAAGTTTGGCAGCAGTTTGCTGTAACCGTGGTCATACATGTAGCTCTTTCTAGTAAGAGCACTGCTACCATACACTGATAGTGATACAGTCAGTCCACACTGTCACCGTGTCAGGGAATACTACGTGTAGGACACGTACATGTACACGCACAGTGTACACTACAGTATAACCTGTCAAGGCGACCACTCGGATAAGGCGACCACCTGTCCTTGAAGACCACTGAAACCAGGACCAAGGGATGCTATTTCCAGTCAAATGACCCTGGATAAAGTGACCACCTGGTAACAGAGACCACGTTTTGAAGGTCCCTTGAGTGGTCGTCTTAGTCAGGTTTCACTGTACCGGTAATATGTAGACATAAGTAGCATGAGTCACCAATTTCTAGCTGCTATAGCATTAATAGGAGTGCACAAACTGGTTTGAATACATGTCATACTCTACTTTACTTTACAGTCATGTATGCCATATCATGCACACCGCGTACAGGACACACAGTCATGCACATGCACACAGTCATGCACATGCACCTGTACATGACAAGTCATGTATTTGCATTCTGGGAATTGACAGCCGGCCTGGGGATGAGGACAGAGACAAAAGTACAGCACAGTACGAGTACCGGTACTTGACAAACAGGAGCAGAGAGTGCAGAACAAAAACAGGTTCTTGCAACCCAGAATTGGGAAGTGCCGATGTGAAGAGGTACCTATGTAAAGTGTAGTACTACCTGTCACAAGATCAACACAGTGAGTAACCGGGTCTAGGGGATCATGGGCGCTAAGTCTTACTACCTACTGCCAGTACTGCTGGCCAGGTTTTGTGTGATGGTAGGAACTGGAACTCACTGGTTTCATACACGTAACAGTTACAATGACCATCCATAATGTACGTCCAGGGATGTTGTTAAGTCAGCTAATAATGGCGTAATGACCGACGTGCCTCCCCCATGCCCCAGAATGGTCAAGTGATGTGACATGTTGCGGCTTCAGTTGAAGAGGAGCAGGTGTAACAGCTTGACTGCACTGGCTCAGGAGCCCTTGCACTGGCTGTCAACTAGTTACTAGTATACTGTAACTAATACTTGGGGCCAAGCAGCACATAGCCCATCAGCAACGGATAAGTATTAGTTTCCCAAATTAATAATTCAGTGATGATCAACTGTGCACTTGTACTTGTAGGGGACTGAGATAGTAATAATTATTATAGAGGGTTTGCATATTGCCACCGACTAGGTCACTTTGATTCAATGATGATCATGTACATGGCAATGCCTGTCAGTATTTTGAAATGCTCTCCTTCCAGCCGCTTTCCATTACAATGGTTTCACGTACTACATGTACAAGGACACCAGCACTACACGAACTCACAACTAAATAATTACCTGGACAGTTAGGGGAAGGACCTGTCAGCCTCAAGTAAGTATTATAATATGTAGTTAGTAACAGTATAGATCTGATACTGTGATGTGACACGGTGCGGGGCAGTTTGACAGCTGAGAATCAAACACCATGCACCTGACACTTGACAGCCATGCTAAGCATGGTCCCAGCAGGATAATGAGGTGGCCTCTACAACTCAAGTCAAGAACAAACACACTGTCACTACATTCAACAGCCATGTAGCCATCCCCGCCTCCTGCTTGCTAAAGCAGATCAGAAGCAGTGAAAACCAGCATGCCACCAGATTTAGTAATGTAAATGCACATGAAGACATTTGAAGAAGCAGAGCTAGAACTAAAGGCCACACTACATGAATAATAATGATGTCCAACACCCACGGGACCACGGTGGCACCATTACATGGTCGGAACTGCCTATTTCGGACACATCAGCTGGAACACCATCCTTCCTCCAGCCTGAGTTATAATGAAACTGGGCCAGACTCGACCATGGAGCATTCAATACTGATCGTCAAGGTCACTTCATTGCTGCCCGTAAACACACGGTACATTATGTATAGTAACCATGACATGTACTGCAGTCCATTGACATTGTGCATAAAGGCACACGATGAAGAGAAGGAGGGGAGGGGAGGAGGTACGTTGACATGAAACCTACAGCGTGATCATGGACTGTCTGCACAATGTCATGTTGCATAGTTAGAGTGCTGCTCAATGAAATCCGGTCACGTGTATTGTAGCCAGGTCATGTCATGACCAGCTGTGCTACCAAGCGGCAAAGGTATGCACATGTGCTAGCAGACCTAGGACAGGTCACACAGACCACTTCATCAAAACACAGTCAGTCCAGCAAAGACACATACCGTGAGGGCGTTACATAGCAAAACCAGACAAGAAACTACAAAAGCATGTGCATGTTACTGATGGAGCTAAAGAGAATGTAAATTCGTAAGCAACAAACTCAGTCACGGTCATGAAATTCACATTCAAATGATACATCTAGTACCAAGAGTTATGAACTCTTGCTACTACGGACAGCTGCTCAATGAAATCCAGTCGTGTCGCTCAAGTTAGTTTGTGCCTTGCACCATTTCGCAACCCAGTGACAGTCACAGTGTTCGCAGGTCTACATGGTCTACAAGGCCTGCACAACGTCCGGCGCCTACTACTACTGTACTAGTACTTGAGTGGCCCGACTGGATTTCATTGAACAGCATGCAGCACTGTAGTAGTAGGACAGTGTTGGCCAGTACAGAATGATCTTGAACTGTGGTGGTACTGTATGGTGCACAATCTGACAAATATTCACACCACCGGCTGCAGACAGCAGAGTGGAGAAGACTCAGCATGCCCGGAACACACCAGAAGGATGCCCATTCCAGTAAGATCTTAAAGTGGGGTGGTATGCATTATCTTCTTACTCAAGGTGCTCATGAAGCAACTGACCACTTCGGAATCATCATCGGAATCAACACCTCATGCACCCTACACAGACTGAGCCCTGCAAACCGGAAAGAAAGCTTGGGACATAGGGGGCAAGGACTCCCGGTGTAGAGGCTCCCATACAGCTACCTGTCACCCTGCTAAACCCACTTGATGCGGAATGCCCCCCCCCCCCCCCCCCCCCAGAGCATTTGATTAGCCCATAGGATCTAGGAAGTGTAGCTGTACATCTAAGTGATCTAACACACCACTGCTCTTGTTACATGGTCAAACATATGATGGATATCTCTGAGAGGTGGCTCACGGGCCAGAGCCAGTATCATCAGCAACAGCCAAAAAGAGTATGAAGTCACCTCCTTGTTGAATCATAGGTGATCTCATTAAAACTCAAGAATAGCAGAGATACCCAGCAGATCGGTGACAGATTTCCAAGATGACTACTCAGTGTATCAAACCTGCCAAGCAAGAAGTTACATTACGGCAAAATATAAATCACTGGGGGAGGGTTATCTGCAGGGTTCCCTCAGTGAGGGTGATTCGAAAGAGAGAGAGAAAAAAAAAGGTTTGTTACTCTGTATCCGGTGCGCTCATATTTCGTAGCTTCTTGGTCACCTCGGCAACAGTGCTGGTATCACCATGCTTGCTTTCGAATTCCAGGTAGCGCTTAAAGACGTGCTTCATCTTCTTGGATGACAGCTGGATGTTGATGAGGCGCTCGAAAACCGCCCTGTTGCAACAAGAAGATCACACACACACACACACACACACACACACACACACACACACACATACACACACACACACACACACACACACACATGCACGCACGCGCGTGCACATACACACAGTCTTCAGTCTGCGCTGAGCATCTACAAAGTGGAGGAAGGTTCACATGGAACATGCTAACTGTTCTATGCATAAACTCAACCTGTTCCAACTTGTTCCACTGTGTGCTACATGTACATGTACTAACATGTTTTTCGATCGAAAAACATGTTAAACTACCAAGCAAGGCTTCTGTGTATATACCATGTACATGTACTGCAGCTACGCACCAGTCATCAAGGCAGGAATGCTCAAAAAGACAAAAACCATACACCAGTCATCAAGGCAGGAATGCTCAAAAAGACAAAATCCATCCGGACAAAATGATGTCTCCTTGTTTGAAATAATGTTGATCTTATGGGTGGGTCATGGCAAGGATCAGTAACAATGTCAACAGCAAACACACTTACCTGACATCATCAACATGTTCGTCACGCAGCAGCATGTCTATGTAGATGGACCACAGGTCGACACGTTTCGGGTAGTTGGTGACGAGACTCTCGAACATGGTGCGTCCACGCTCGACCTCGCCATGCTTAAACTCCAGCTGGGCAAACTTGCTGATGACGTCCACGTCTATACACAGCAGTAGCAGCAACAACAGCACGGTCAAAGACAAATTGAGACGGAACGAAAAGTGTTCAGAGAACAACGATTATAATAATTATATAATATAACTAATCCACAACAGTACAAAAGCAGAACCAAAAAAACCATCCACACCGCGTTAAAATGAACTGAGTAGACTCGTCGAGGCGAGTAACTACTGAGGCGCGCACTGTCAATGCATGCTACAACGCCTGGGAAGTGTGTGTGTGTGTGTGTGTGTGTGTGTGTGTGTGTGTGTGTGTGTGTGTGTGTGTGTGTGTGTGTGTGTGTGTGAGTACCAGGACCAGGTGTGAGTGAGGGGGAGGGGCAAAGCAGCAGAAGTGGCATGCACCAATTAGCTTACGTTCAAACTTTCGCAGACTCTTCAAGCCTCTGTCCATCAGACGGCGGGCAGCATCGGGCTTGCCCTGGCGGAACTTGAACAGACCGTACTGTTCCCAGACTTCTCGGCTCTGCGAGAAGCGCTTCACCATTGTAGCATACAGGTCATCCGCTCGCTAACAAACAAACAGGATGGATAAAGAAGTAAACAAAATTCAGCTAGGATCAAAACAAAAAGGACCGGGACAGAGGGCTGGCTTACACAAGGACAGCAACTAACAGTCTCACTCAATGGCAAAGAACAAGCCAGCAATTCGTAGAGCAAAATGAGTTGTGATGTACGCGCAGCATTACTGGGTTGACTTTCGATGGCATCCCCAGCCCGAGCCCGGTGGTCTGCCTGACTGGGGAGGCCAGGGTGTTTGATGACTTGATCTGCAGGCACACTGAGTGCGATGAACCCGGGGATGTACTCGTCTCACACCATGTCAAGTCTCCCTGTAGACCTGTTTCACATCTGTCACATGACTACACATGCAGCAGCCATGTTGCTTCCAACTCCAGTCAAACACTGTGCGCATCGGTCACATGATGTCAGCCATGTCGGTGCCACTGTCCACATGACGTCATGTACACTATATACACAAGTGCAGTTATATGACAAGATATTAAACCACTCCATTGTCAAAGCTACAGTATCGCAACAAAGCGTACTTCATGAAAAATTCCATTGACAATGACGCACCAGGAACAGGGTTCCTTGGCTAAAGGGGCCACACAGCAAATAGTCTACAATCAAAGCAACATGAACTCACTTTGACAGTGTACCACAGACTTGCAGCAGCACACATGCACTTCACTGGCAGGCTGTCTACACATAGCAGAACTCACCTCAAACTTCTTCGATTGGATGTAGATGCGCACCAGGCGGAAGAAGACCTTCTCTGGTTCATTGGTGCGAACGGCCTCATCAAACACCTTCATCAGACTTTCGTGACTTCCGTATACGTTCTCTAGATTGAGCCAGGTCACCCAGATATCCAGCTTGCCCTTCTCGTTGCGGAAGTTCAGCGTTTCCAGGGCCCGTTGGGCTACAGCACGCGCCTTGTCAATCTCCGCCGAGTGCATGTGACACGCCATGAACTGGATCCACGTGTCCGATTCGTCCGGATTGGCCGCCACCAAGCGCTCAAAGTCTTGCACAGTCTGCATTGGGCGCTCCGTGTCCAGCAAAGTCTCTTCCATCTATCATGCACAAAGCAACAACAGTGAAGACAATGCTCAAAGCAACAACAGTGAAGACAATGCTCACAAGCTGTAGCTACCTAGTGGGGGGTCGTCCAAGGTTGCCAATAGTATTTTCAAAACGAAATGTTTTCGTTTAAGGGTGGGTGGTTTTAGGAGCTTCGTTTTGAAAAGAATTATAGAATGTATATGGAGAATATCCAGTTAACTCTGGGTGCCGAAGATTGAAATTATTATATTGTTGGACTGCCTTTTACCTGCAGAAAAGGTGGGTGGGCGGGGGCTGAAATATGCAAAACTTTTCGTTTCGCAAAAACAATCGGTAACCCCGGAGGACCCCTAACACGTTGCTAGGTACTATTATAATAAAAAGGAAAGCCGATCGAGTCATCAGGTCTTTCTTGTTTTACAGTATATTACACAAACCTCGTTCGGATTCATATTCTACATGCACTCAAATCTGTGGACAGCAACTGTTTCGCTCTGTTAGAGCTCCTCAGCACAGCTCAGAGGACCGAAGCGCAGCTCTTCGCAATGAAATACGTTTCCGTGAAGCAAAGCATTTTTATAAAGAGCTGCAAACCCCGCCAAGAGTGCTCGAAATGTATCAAACAAAGCCGCGCGCAGTGCAACTGACTTTGTCAAACACGACCTGTATCCCAAGGCCTACCACTACAATCTCGTATCAATGAGTTCATGCAAAGGTCCAACAGGAATGCAGTCTTCTGTGTTGGAATAGGAAAGAGACAGAGAGTTTCCCGAGCTTTGTCATCTGATCCGTCTTGCTACCATGTTTTCCCGAATATAAGTCGACCTTCTGTGTGCCAGAAATTTCGCCAAAATCTGGGGGTCGACTTACAAATGGAACTCGACTTACATACGGAAATCTGGCACAACAAATGAAGTGACTGGAGTGTCCGTACAAAAATGCACTACCGTACGAACCATGTGAACATTGGATGACACTGGTTTTGTTCAGATTTTGTCTTACTGGCATGATATGATCTCTCCTCGCAGAGAATTCACATTTTGTATGTGTGGGTGTCATAGAGCTATAAAAACTTTTTTTTCATGAAATTGACTCCTTGATTTGGGGTGGTCGACTTATATTCGGGAAAATACGGTATGTATGTGTCATGACCCGGACTCGACTCGTCGTGAAAGCGACCACGCAATGAGATTCAGCAGCCAAAAGCTGGGCTCCGAGATATTCTAGAGTTCTGTAAGAACCATGATTAGTCCCGCGAAGGATTTGGCACTTTCGTTAGTTGAGCAATCATGGCTTACAACTCGTGGCCTAGAGTCGCAAGTGTTGCCGTACGTCGGCAACACCTTCAGTACAAGTCGTCAGCATTGTACTCACTACACTGTTGAGCTTGAGGGGACCCTGCTTAGTCCTGCAAGGGAGCTGATACCTTTGTTAGTCGAGCAAGCATGGCACCTCTTCTCGCGTCGTACGACATAAAGGGTCCTGCAAGTGCTTCGCGCACTGCGGACTCCGTTATCCCTTTTTGGGAGAGGTCACGGCTTGACCGTGCAGCGCCCTACGGGGTAATGAGAGGGAAGAGCCTACGGGGCAGAAGATGAAGGGTGACCCAATCAAGACACCGTACGAAGGCGGCGCGCTCTAGCTGCGGCAACATCCGACAGCGTACTCCAGGCTCCGTCGCACGATCGCCGTACGAATAACCTCGGACTTCACTGATAGTTGTACTTCTTTCATGTAATGTGGGTGAGCGAGCTCCCCGAAGCTATACTAATATTTCCTACAAATTATTATATCACAATTATACTATAACCAAAATCACATAAAAGCCGCCTTCTTCCAACGAATAAAAGTATCTTCTGATCGCTTCCCTTCAACCTCTGACTACCTTGTGTGAGCCGGAAAACAGGTGATCTACTTATCTGCTTGAGTCAACTATATTGGTTGACGACCTGGTGCCACTAGATGGATCACCGGCCATGACATTTGGTGCTGTGACCAGGATCAAGCGATAATGCTATAACACTGTTATGTGTGTCTCCTTCTTGTACAGTGTTGACAATGGCTGACAGACAGCAACAGCGTGGCGCACCCGAGGCGCGACTTCCGCGACATGCCGCGCACCAACAGGAATTAATCGTGGCACTGCAGGCAGGTGCCTCGGCACTGGAGGCCCTGCGCCAACACTCACATGCTCTGAAGCTCCGAGCTATCGCCGGCGGACTGACGTCCCTGTTGACGACCCTGAAGAAATTCTCGGTCGCCATTGAAGAGGGCCCTCCCCCGAAACGACCCAGATTTGCAACGGCGGCAACGCCTCGGAATCGTGTTCGTGACGACGCCGTCACTGCAGCTCGAGACGCCGCCCAGGCTGAACGAGAGCGCCTGACGGCAACAACCGACGCGACGGCCACGACTCGCCGACTTCCAAGTTGGGTAACATCACGGGGACGTGATTCTTGAGAGGCCGGGGAATTGTCATGACCCGGACTCGACTCGTCGTGAAAGCGATCACGCAATGAGATTCAGCAGCCAAAAGCTGGGCTCCGAGATATTCTAGAGTTCTGTAAGAACCATGATTAGTCCCGCGAAGGATTTGGCACTTTCGTTAGTTGAGCAATCATGGCTTACAACTCGTGGCCTAGAGTCGCAAGTGTTGTCGTACGTCGGCAACACCTTCAGTACAAGTCGTCAGCATTGTACTCACTACACTGTTGAGCTTGAGGGGACCCTGCTTAGTCCTGCAAGGGAGCTGATACCTTTGTTAGTCGAGCAAGCATGGCACCTCTTCTCGCGTCGTACGACGTAAAGGGTCCTGCAAGTGCTTCGCGCACTGCGGACTCCGTTATCCCTTTTTGGGAGAGGTCACGGCTTGACCGTGCAGCGCCCTACGGGGTAATGAGAGGGAAGAGCCTACGGGGCAGAAGATGAAGGGTGACCCAATCAAGACACCGTACGAAGGCGGCGCGCTCTAGCTGCGGCAACATCCGACAGCGTACTCTAGGCTCCGTCGCACGATCGCCGTACGAATAACCTCGGACTTCACTGATAGTTGTACTTCTTTCATGTAATGTGGGTGAGCGAGCTCCCCGAAGCTATACTAATATTTCCTACAAATTATTATATCACAATTATACTATAACCAAAATCACATAAAAGCCGCCTTCTTCCAACGAATAAAAGTATCTTCTGATCGCTTCCCTTCAACCTCTGACTACCTTGTGTGAGCCGGAAAACAGGTGAGCTACTTATCTGCTTGAGTCAACTATATTGGTTGACGACCTGGTGCCACTAGATGGATCACCGGCCATGACATATGCTATTATCGGTGAACTTACCGCTCGCAAGTTGGCCTCATCTTGCTTTTTCTCGGCACGCTTCTGTCGCCGGGTCTTCTTTCGTTGGCTCTGCACACAGCGCACAGCACACAGACAAACGGCATATTAAACACAAATGAAACGAGGATAAAATCTGTATGTTCACGTAACACATGCTGCAAAGTTACGAAACGTCATCAAATCTGGTCCGGATTCGTAGCATTTTTCCCCGAGGATGCGTGTATCCAATTGCAGCATTCAATCATGATCAACACAAATGCTCACCGGGGGAAAAGATATGGGCGCTTTGGAGGAAACGAAAAAACGCAAGATCAGCCATGGCAGTTGACAGCGTGCTTGTTCGGTCACGGAATCTGGACTCCAAAGAAGACTGTATTTATTTCTGTTCTTCGTAACTGAACGAAAACCTCTCGACTAGTAGTATGCACACCTCATCGTGCCTTGGCACGGACATACCGTAGAATCCCGCGGATAAGCCCATGGGCTTATCTGTTTCACAAGGACATTTCGGTGGGCTTATACGCGGACATGGGCTTATACGCTGACACCAACATTGTGCTATTGAAAAGTACCAAGGAAGTGAGAAATACATTGCTGAAAGCCACTGTGCAAACAAAAACAACCGATGATTGTGTTGAAATGTACAAAAAAAACCAAAAAAACCCTACATGTACTACCTACATGTACATGGTCGTACCAAGAGTCCATAATTTATGGACTCTTGGTACGACTTAGGCCCATGGGCTTGTACGACGAAGCCTTGTGATGTTCGAACTTTCCCTGGGCTTATGCGCGGGCATGGGCTTATACGCGGGTGGGCTTATCCGCGGGATTCTACGGTACCAAATCTGCTGTCGTCCTCTCTCCAGGGCAAAACTCTACCTCCCTACAATGTGAAACTGGTACTATAATAAAGGCACAGCTAATAAAGCGAACACACCTACAGCCAATCAGCAAACCAGTTCCGTAATGGGATCCGGCAGGTATTGCATGCCATGCATGTACTAGATTGATGCTACAGTACAGACAGTCGCATGTCGTAGACACAGGTCCTAACAGTGTCTAGTGTCTAGTCAGTAGCATCATGCTCACACGTGCCGGATCAGCACACCATACATTGAATTGACCTAGCAAACGGTAACCTGCGGAATCTACTGGAACAGTGCTAACAGGATAAAGGCACGGCGCCGTGCAATGTCGCAGCAACTTACATTGGACATGTTCTCCTCGCCATCTTCGTCGTCAGAGCTACTGTCTGAAGCAGCTCCGGCCGCTGCAGCCTGTTTGCCTGCACTTGCTTGTGCTTCAGACCACCAGTCAAACTTGCTTGGTAGCTACAAGAAAGGAGCATAGGAAAAAAGAAAGAAAAAAAAGGAGCAGATACGTCAATGACAGTGCATGCATTGCCATGCAGCAGGGCTACTGGGGTCGGAATGAAGGGCGAGGGGGTGATCCGAACATTCGGAGAACTGCAGGCAATCTTAAGGTGTGAAATCAAGCACACACTGGAAGTAATAACAGCTGAATCTTGCCTGAGGACATAGCCCGAGGAACTAGGCACGCATCGGCGGATGCGTTCAAGGTCAAGATCAGCCATAAGGACAGACACAGAATGTACTTGGTCTGATATCTCACATGATTTGTGGGCCAAAGGCCAAAACGGTCAAACTATTGACTTTCCAAAGTGATGTCAATCAAGCGCGATGAGCTGATTATGCCGACGCGCGCGCGCGCGCGCGCGAGAGAGAGAGAGAGCAGGAGAGAGAGAGAGAGAGAGAGAGAGAGAGAGAGAGAGAGAGAGTCGCGTATCCATCTCCGTAGACATTAGCACACTGACATTCCGCTCAGCTACAGAGGGTGATAAACAACTGGTCACCACCGTACCTTCAAACATGCGGCAGAAGACTTGCCAGCCGGAGTAGCAGAATCATCGTCACTGTCAGTATCGCTATCGTCATCTTCCGTATCCTGGTCTGAGCCCTGAGAAGCAACATCAGCGTCTTCCGAGTCTTGCTCTCCATTCTCCACATCATCTTCAGACTCCGAGTCAGATGTCAGCATCTCTGCTCCTTCTTCCTCCATCATTTGTCTGAGCTCCGCATCACTGTCAACCTCATTGTCATCATCACTATCTGCGTCTGCAGCTGCCAAGACACGGCCACCAGTTAGCTTCGTGCGTTTGCCTGATTGGCCATCGGCATCTTTGGAATCGGACGTCTTGCGCTTGCGCTTCTGCGGTGAGATGTGAGAGTTACGCAGCGACAGCTCAATCTTGCTCTGGTTATAGTCCACACTGCATACCAACAACAACAACAACAACAACAACAACAACAACAACAGCTCTAAGATGACACTTCTGCTCCATAACTTTGTATGCTTATTGGCAACCGGCCATTGTGAGAATAAAGATTTGAACAGCAGCAGCAGCAGCAAGCAGAGGTAGGTACTAGTAGGTGCACCGCTATGTAAAATTAAAGCAGTCAATCATACTGGCTTATTCTCAAAGTATCAGTGCACACACACGCAGCACAAAGACGGATAACTTACGCCATGACCTTGGTCACCACCAGCTTTCCAACTGGATAAGCCTTCTTCCAATTCTTCACAAAGTTCTCTGACAAGTTAGTGATCTTGGCTCGGCCAACAATGTTTCGAGATAGCCTAAGAGACATACAGGGAAAGCGAAGAGTAAGAAGACGAGATGGAGCAGGATTCAACAAAGTCACGATTTAGACAAGTTCCGCTCAGTACAAGTACAGGGCTTGAAAGGCATGTCACGAATGGAAACAATGCGACTTGGGCCAAATTCATCCATGTTTCCGCAAGGCTTGCGTGGAGCCATGTTGGTACAGTAACGCAGCATGTGCATGTGTGTGTATTAGTGTATGCAGCAAGTGAGACCAACAGCAGCCTATGGCCCAGTCCAGACGTTGCTGGGTTAGCAAACGCTACCCAAGCATGTGCCCAATCATACAAATGCACAGCCAGAGCTTGTACCGTATTTCACCGAGTAAAAGTCACATCTTTTTACACTAGACTTTTTGGGCAGAGAGGTGACTTGCAATGGAGTGTGATGCCCTACTCACGTGAATTATATCGAAACAATACGGCTCAAACCCGAAAAATGGGGTGGGACTTATAACTGAGTATGTTACTACTTTTTCAAGTTTATGAATCTACCACTTTTAGCCCTATGGAGGTCAATCAAACACCACGTAAAGATACTTCTGTCTTCATCAATGAAAGCAGCACACATGCTTAAGTCAAGTAGCAAGGATTCGCTACCGAATTTCAAAAGATTTACCTCACAAAGAGACCTGCATTGTCAACAGCCGCCTTGACGTAGCCCCGTAGGATCTGGCCCTGCTTGATGTCAGCGATGGATTCGATCTCTGGGTCTCGCACGCTGGTGCCAGTGGCGGTGGCAGTAGCACCGGTGCCCGATTGCCCGTGCCGTTCCGCATCGGACGCGGTGTCCGGCATGGTACCGTTGTTGCTTGACGAAGATCCTGAGGTGCGTGATGGTCGCAGTGACACGTCCAGTTGGCCACTGCTTTGCTTTTCCAGAATATAACACCTACGTCACGACACCGAGAAATAACAATAAAAAGGGCTGGCCTACAAAACAACACATTCGACATATCTGACCTACGTAGCTGACCTGCCGTCTCTGACCTACAAAAACACCACATCTGATATACATGTATCTTCTACAATTTGATGGCACATTCGGCCAAGCTTCTGAGACCCGTGATTTCTGCAAAGATTCTGAAGTCTCTCAGGCGGCCAGTGTAGTGCTGGTAGGGAAAGTTAACATGCCATATCAGTAGATTGGCAAGTAATGCGCTAGCTCCTCCTCTGTATTAAATGGATACAGCTGCAAGTTTTCGAGCAACGTTTGTACCTGGCATGCTAGTACCACACATGGAGTTACAATATTGGCCATCCAAGCTCCGGTGCCGATTGCCCAACAAGTATTTACTATCAAGAGTCTCGGCAGAATATTTTAAATGCGACACACACACGCACGTACGCACGCACACACACACACACACACCTCACACACATGCCCATCGCAGAAGCGATGATAGCGAACAGCTATGTTAGACATAGCAACTTGTACTGGGATTACACCATTCAACAGCTTGCAAGGCTGATGAATTGACCGCCACTATTTTCTAGCCTGGTATCCGCCACACAGCTGATTGAAGTACACACACACACACACACACACACACACACACACACACACACTACTACTACTATGTACAACTGCCACAAAATGGCCACGTCGCTCCCAGAAGCGGGAGACAACAGCGAGAAAAAAGAAACAAGGAGAATAATTGAGGTGAAAGGGGACCGTTCTACACATAGCTAGTGTTTCTGTCTTCGGTGGCGGGTGAGGTCCTGCGGGCGGGAGAATCGTTCGTTACATAGGCTGCATTGAATGGGCAGATTAGTCCTCTGGTCCTTTCGCAGTCGTTTGCCTCGAGTACAATTATGGCGGTTAAAACCAGCCTGACTCTTCATGCAGCGATCACAGATCGAGCAATGGTGCTGGCAGCAGTCCAAATTCAGGCTGCATCTCGTTGAAACAGCTGGTATTTCGTCCGATGTCTGACGCTCCACACAACGATGAACTGCAAAACCGCCAGCGCTTTGAAACCAGCGGTCACAAACTCCACAGTGACGCACACACACACACACACACACACACACACACACACACACACACACACACACACACACACGCACACACAGAGTTCAAATGTGAAGTAGTATGCACTACTGACCTAGCGATCATATGGCATGGATAGTTGCTCAGCGGGTCCTCCTCGTAGCTGTCACTAATGTCGGTCAACGCGCAGCGTGCAAACGTCTTCACACCGGGTAGCTCCAGCAACAGGGCTTCGTCAGCGATGACCTTGGCAATGCGACAAGTGCGCACTTCACCGATACATACCTCAACTAAGCAAGCAAGACATAAGAGGCGGCAGAAAATTGGGCAGATTTAGGACATGGTACACACACACACACACACACACACACACACACACGCACACACACACACGTGTCTATATGAACAAAAATACTAAACGCTTTCCCTACAGCACAGTTCAAAAACATGGACACGTGAACCTGCACGAGCGTTCTGCACCGACTTCTAGTGTACTCCCCAACTGCAATTTGAATATGCACACTCACACCCCAAAACCTCACACTGCAGCACGCATACGCATGCTGTACAAGTGGAATCTAAAAACCGAAGGCCGCTGTTTCGAAAGTTGCAGAATTGTAAAGCAAAAAGACACACCCAGTGCCATTGAGAAATCCCAAAGACAAGAAGACAATGCTGAAAACTGCACGCCACTGTTACTGAAAGCCCCATAAATGCTAGCATTTGATGGAAGGAACATCTGCTGGCAGTAGCCGTCAGGTGAGAAGTGACATAACAGCGGAGTGCCAAAGACACAAGAGCACACGTGAATAAGCACCCGGGCCTGAACTAACCTGACTTAGCCAAGCGGAACAGGCGGTCGGCCTTGATGAACTTGGTCACAGTCGCAGTGACAGCACTGCCCGGCTGAAAGTACTTATCCGGATTAGCAGCAGCCTGGATACCAACACACAAGGACCAAGGAGTGGCAAATAGCAGAAATGGTCAGATTCACAGGCAACAACCAGAATGATAGCACAGGACACATATTTAAAAAGCAACAGTGCAACAAGAAAGACTAAACAGTGCACAAAGACGGTTGCACACACACACACACACACATACCTCCTTAGTGGTAGCGGCCTCCAACAGGGGCAGAGTGGCACGGACCGTGGGAGTAACGAGGAGATTCAGGTTGCTCTTCCAGACCTGGGCGAATGGAAGACGAAAAGGAGAGAACAAAGAGACTGCAGTTTATATACTCGTACAACCATAACAGCAATTGCATCAGCACTCGGGGTAAATGATGTCCTGAGGGAGGAGATTCCAGCCAGTTGTGAACATGGCATACAGAAAGAAGAGGATGACAGTCATCGTGACACCATCTTACACTGGGCCTTACAATGCCGACTCTGTACAGCACAACTGCGGCGACGACAGGTTTCTAAGCACACCACGTTGCACAGGACCGGCAGTTTGAATCTGGCACGCTGCAGACGTAGTACACCATATTCCCCCGATACACTGTGTGTTTACATGAATGCCAGCAAGTAGTATTGTATTAGAGCTCACAGCATTTTATTTATTTTATTCTTATTTTTTACTAGCAAACACAGCCCTACTAATAATCAGGGGAAGAGGACAACTGAACTGGCACAAGCACAGGGAGATAAGAGTAGGGCACAGAGGCAGATGATTACTCGTACCTCTTTGACAAAGGCAGTCACGCGTGATCCGGGTTTCAGCTCCTGGACAAGCTCCTCAGTTAAGTCCTTATCCTTCAGAGTTGCCTCGTCAAGAGAGTCATTCTCAACAACACTGGAAACAGAAAAAGACCGAAGGTTCGTCAATTAATTTAACAAGGAAACACTGGTTTGGTGTAAAAAAAACTTCTCGGATTGTCTGAAGCTACCGGCATTACTGACAAACAACACCGACGGGGGACAGATGAAAAAATGCCACGGTTTAAGTGAGACTCGGTTAGACTGAATTTTCCGCATTCGTAGGAATGCCATCACCCTCAAGGATCAAGGCGCAGATGCAGCCCCCAAAGCGGTGGGAGGCGAGTGGATGACACCCACTATCAGACTAAGAAAGTCAGAATTCCCTATGAAAACATAACAGAAGGATGGTATTTTTTACGATGCCAAAGCCTTAGACTGTCCTCTCCAACTAAGAAAGTGTGTCATTATATTATCGTCAGTCCTTTCTTTTGAGCATGCATACGCATGTGTGAAAGCTGAAAGTGTATCGCTTTCACCAGTACATGGGGTGAAAAAAGACAGCTAGCAGCAGCACATATGCATCCAACGCCTACCTCTCCTTGGCACTCAGCTCCGCCACTTCGTAGAAGTCGTGGTGACTGATTTCAAGATGTCTGCGCAGGGAAAGAAAACGACAGGATGCACAATACAATTCTAAATTCTAGAAATAAGGTGCCCTAAGGAAGAAAAACAGTATGCAGTCATACTTCAACTTGGACAACGACGTGAATTTGGTGAAGCACATAAAAGGAAATGCCACGACATGGGAATCACAATAGAGCACAGTGACAGGACAGCTTTTTTTACCAATTATTTTCGTCCCATACTGTAGTTGGTAGTACAGGTAGACTCCCTTTAATTCGAACCTCAAATTGCCAGGCCCTAACTTCCAATTATCCAGAACTTCTAATTATCCAAATGCAGCCCCATGCACTGATATGTATGTCAAAATGCTTGAAATCGCATGCTGAATATTTTTTGCACATTTTTATTTGCATCAACGAAACATAGGTGGTCGACTGGTCGTACCGGTCGTGTACAACGGATCATCAAAACACTGGATCGACACAAAAATCATTTTGACATCTTCATTTTCTAGTGAAGAAGTTGTCAGTCACTGCAGCTTTCCTGAAACAGTTTCAACGGAAAAGAACTGCGCTGCCTAATCTGCGTCATGAAAGGCCGTCGGACAGCAGCATGTCGTTCTGAAGAACGGAAGTGGAGCATAGGCATAGACAATATTTACGACAATAGTGTTTTTGTGCGCCAACATCTCCGCGCACGAGCTGGCGCGGCACGAAAGGCCATCGAGATCCGCGAAGAGAGTCAGCCACCTGGAAGACGTCGACTTCAACCAAACCTTTGCAATTTGCCTCGAACGGGCTTGAAAGAAATTTCGAGAGAAGGTGGGTTTCTCGAACGCTATAGTCGATCCTGCAGCGGACCATTGATCGATTTTTGAGCTACTCTTGGCTAGAGAAGGAGAAAAGAATGAACTTCGAAATACAAGGATAGCAACTCAATCTCACTTCGAAATAAGCGTTCAAAGGACATAGCAAATGTACTGTAAACAGCTCTTCTGTACGAAGACTGGGTTCGAATTATCCAACCGGCGCACTTTTCGTACTTCGAATTATGCATTCAATTTTGACTTGAAGTGACTTGCAGAAGATCGGTACGACGAAAAAGTTCGAATTACACGGAATGTTCGAATTATACCGTATTCGAATTAGAGGGAGTCTACCTGTACATGTGTTATGCAGAACTGGCAGCAACTCTGCTCATTGTGCCAATCTGGATGACCCTTCTAGGCCTGCTGCCGTACAGCTCCATTGCTCAATTTGTTGGACAGCACGAGCTCCGTTCCCTGTCCCGAGCAAAGCTTCAGCACATACGTCCTTGCCTCAAGCATTTGAACTGGTAGAGGCGGCCGGAGTTTCTAGGGGGAAGAACGAAGCCTGTGATAGACCGCCCTGTACCTGCACAGTTCTCGTCTTTCTGACACTTTGAGCGTGCATAGGTTGGTATCAGCACCACTAGTGATCCACTAACAATCATGGGGAGCTGCGCACTAACAGCCTCACCTAGGTATAAGGAGACACTCAGACTACTTCTGCTTTGTTAATTCTACATGAAACTCGACAAAATCAACCAAAACTCTCCCGAAATGAATTAATCTATCACCATTCGCCCATTTCTGTATGCCTGTATTCACACTACAAACCTGTTTGATTTGAGCTTGCGGAATCCAATCACGCGGCACTTGATTTCGTCGCCGTTGTGAACGTCAGCAAATGGCCACTTGCCCTGCATGGATTAAACAAAAGACAACACATAAAAGCTGAAAGGCCTGCGCACTAAAACGTAAACGTATACCGTGTTTTCCCGATTATAAGTCACATCCAAGTACATGTCACCGCCCATTTTCAGGTCTCTGTCGTATTATGTCTGTGTGCCCAGACGTGTGATGTCTCACTCAATTGTAAGTCACATCCCTACTTCAGCCGCGTGGTTTAGTGTGAAAACGTGAGATTGATATTCAGGGGAAATGGTACACATACTTCTCCGCAGCAGGATTAGCAGCAATGTGAGACCGACTTGACGTTCAAATGAATGAATTTTGAGTGCTGTCAAGAACTCTCCAACTGAGATGAACCCCAAACTTGCATCAAACTCATGCCTGCAAAGTACAAACTCTTCCATACAATCACATTGATCTTGCTCTTTTCCACACACACGGCCAGTAGGTGCAGTGTACGCTAAGGGACCAATAGTTCATCACAGACTACATCAGTACAAACAAAACAAACAGCGTCTCCTGGGGTCCTTTATGTGACAATAAGACAAAATCCATCTGTCTATTTCGTTTGTCAAGAATGCTCGAATATAAAGAAGTTGAGTTCGTTCACCCCTAAACCGGATTGAGCATAAGGAGAGTGGATGTTGCCACATCTATGTATGGAATGTGCATAGTGACGATGGAAAGTCACTCTCTGCTGGCATACTGGTCTTAACGGCAAGTTCGAATTGGGAGAGGGGCAATGGAGAAGCAAAAGATCAAGTGTATCTGGTTTCATGCTTACTGCGGCTGGCTTATCGGTGAACTGGGTCACGTGAACACGGCCTAGAAGCTTGCCTCCGATGCGCACGTTCAGCTGCAGGCCCTGCACAGACCTCACCCTGAAGCAGGTCATTCGACACAACAACACCAATAGTGTAGACGAAAGAAAGAGAAGCTTGAAGACTGGTTGAACCCAAGCAGACAGCCTCATGCACTTCAAGTTCAGATAGGCAGCCATGTTGGTTTTCAGGTGTCCTGCTCTTGCCAGAGCAGAGCAGTGAAGACCATCCGAATATGCACCAGTACATGAGCCAACACATGGCAGGCAAAACACATCAGAGAGAAAACAAGTCAGCTTGCATTGACATCAGACACGGAGCCAGGGAAATGGCTGCTATGGGCAAGTCGACTTACATGGCGGACACTACGTCTCCCACCGCGACCTTGGCATCACTGCTCCTGGGCGAGCCATCGCTGGTCTGCTTGGGTGGCCTAGGAAGGCGACCGAGGGAAACCAGAGCGAATGGGGAGCTGGCGGATGGCAGCCTAGAATACAACAAGAAAGAAATACATGTACACTGAAAAAGCAAGCCTTGCTATCCAAGCCCAGGCATCCAAACGAAGAAAAAAACACACACACACGTGTGCAGCTCTTCGGTTCATGACATACATAAAGTACAGCACAGATACAGTGCTCCTTATAGAAATCTGCTCTTGTGAGTAAGGTAACGCCGGGTGCTGTGCAGCCAGTAGCCCTGCAACCACTAGCAGGTGCACTGGTGCAAGAGTGCCAGCTTATCCATGAGGCTGAACTTTATTGACTCCCACAACGGTGAACCATACATGTATTTTACACCTGTAACATTATCGCATGTACCGTATATTCCGGGGTATTGGCAGGACATATAAACAAATACTGTTTGCCGGCCACAAGATGCACATAAGCTTATTTCAAGTTATTTGGCATAGCCTTGATTGAGATCACATGGAGAGGACATCACAATAGCAGATCTTCCAGAGGGGAATGAGTGGCGTGACACAGAGAAGTGAGCTCACCGGACAATCTCGGTCTTTAGCTTCTGACCTGGCGAGTAGCGCTTACTGGCAGGCCGATAGTCATTGAGATGCTAAACACCACAAAGAACAAGACACACCAGCAAATACAAAAGGTTAAAATCACAATGCGTTCAGGTACAAGGTAGCATAGATGTTGCCTTAGTCAGTCATCACAAATTCAGGGAAAGAAAGAAAGAAAGAGAGAGAGAGAGAGAGAGAGAGAGAGAGAGAGAGAGAGAGAGAGAGAGAGAGAGAGAGAGAGAGAGAGAGAGAAAGAGAGAGAGAGAGAGAGAGAGAGAGAGAGAGAGAGAGAGAGAGAGAGAGAGAGAGAGAGAGAGAGAAAGAGAAAGAGAGGGGAGGACCTCACCATATTTACTGTTGTTCCTTTCTTATCAAGCTTTACACGCACGCATGCACGCGCACCCACACACACCCACACCCACACCCACAAAACCACATACCTGATGAGCCAGTCCCAGAGCGACGGCCGAGCCAAACTGCGGCAAAGTCAGCACAACGCAGTCGGGCTTGATGAGCTGAACGATTCCTTCTGTGAATTCACCGACTTTAGAGGCCTTTACCTGTAAACAATTACGGCAAAACAAGCACCAAGAACAAAGATGAGGACTAGCACAGACATAGATAATGAAATTAAACAACAGCAGCAAGATCACAAGACCAGAGGATGTTAGAGGCCATGACATACTGTAGTACACTGTAGTACCCTCACAAAGCATGCCAACCAGAAGAAACCCCTGACTTACAGCAGACTGGGAGGGAGTGTCCTTGGCACTGCATTCAGAGTCTTTCCTCTTCTTTTCCTTCCTGGTTGTTGCGCTAGCCTCGGCGACTTCGGTAGCAGCTGACCAGACTTTGACGAGGTCTGCATCGAGGCTAACATACACGGTGGCGTTCTCGACGTCCTTGTCCAAGACAGCGGCGGTGACAATATCCCCAGCGGTGAGCGACTCAGCTTGTTCTGCAAGCGATGTTGGGGCAATGGCCGTTGCTCCCGAGCCGCACACCTTCAGAGAAGCGCCAAAAGGCTGACTACGGACATACTGTGCACGGAACACAACAAAAGAAGCCAGCATGCAGGAATAAGATGAACACAGCAGACGTGTACCTAGAGCTACACATCATGATGAGCAGTCTCTTCCTCCTCTTACGGAAGGATGAAGATGTCCATTCAACAATGAACATTAAATGGACATGCACGTGCTGTACGAATACACATAGCCATACCTCGCATTCTACAAGTGATCCGACTGCGATGTCATGAACAGCTTGGCGCTTGGCCGAAGACTGTGACAGGCACTGGTCTATGGCAGACTTCTCTCGCCAGAACTGCTCCAGCAGGGTTGGCAATGACGGGCCGGAGTGAGCACCAAGGTCGGACGGCTTCATTGACAGGATGAACCGCTGCTTCACCGTGTCAACCTCAGTCACCTGAACAGAAGGAAGGAACGGGCAAACAGAGGCTAAGTATTGCAGTACAGCAAATGACTGTTATTCCCGAAGCTACCAGTACGCTAAAGACGTTACGAAGTGCCTGGTCGGGCTGGAATGAACCAAGTGACTCATCGTGTGTGCAACTATGAGTAGAAGGTGACGTAGCAAGAGTGCAGAGGACTGGCGGCCGGTCATTTCCTATCTGTGTGGGACTGTGCGTGTTGGCGATGACCACATGTCACCATGCGACCGATCAGGTGAGTGACCAAGAGTTGTATTACACGTGTACGCAGTGCAGAAAGCATACAACATCTCGTACATGCAACACAACGAGAGCTGCCAGCTCAGGGCCCTCGCTATGCTTGGCCTTCACCGAGGTCATCATATGTGTTACTAGTATCAAAGCTGATATACACGCCTTTGCAATGCGGAGAGTGGGTACATGTTTAGGCAGCAAGTGGTCAAAGCAACTCACCTGTACTACGACGGTTTGACCAAGACTGTAGAGATCAGCTGGGTGAGTGACAAACTCATCGGCAACACTCTTCACCGGCACAAGGCCAACCAGCTGACTGGCGAGCTCCACGAAAACACCATAGGCCACGACTTGCCGAACAAAACCGACAAGGATCTGGCCAACCTGGCATGGGCCAACACAGCAAGATCATTGATTACTGTATTAAAGGGTTGAATCTCTAACGGGGCACAAAGCCTAACGTTTTTACGAGCAAAAATCCATTGTTAACTCAAGAAATGTTACTGGAGTGCCACTCTTTCTCGCTTCTGTACTGCGAGGCACCTCCTCCCGATCCCGTATATTGCCTCCTAAAACCTTTTCCAGCTGGCCTGCATGCACCCCATACTTTTGTTCCGTTGGCCTGGGTAGCTACTTGTGTGTCCATATTTGTCATAGCTACCCAGGCCCTTTCTCTCTCTCTCTCTCTCTCTCTCTCTCTCTCTCTCTCTCTCTCTCTCTCTCTCTCTCTCTCTCTCTCTCTCTCTCTCTCTCTCTCTCTCTCTCTCTCCCTCTCTCTCCCAATAAATGTCGTCGTCACCTACCTGTCCCTTGTTCCCGTTGTGCGTGGAATGATGAGTTTTCAACAGTACTACAGAAGTAAAAGACGGGTGTGTGAAGGCAGGGCCGTTAAACTTTGTGCCCGCCAAGTGGGGAAAATGGTCGTGTGACTACTTTGGCAGGAAATTTGCTCCGTGCAAACCTGGCGCAAAATACGCGAAGCACCGTCTCACACGATGTTTCGATTTCAACCCAGGTCAAGCGCACTGCATCATATAAACGCTCCAGTCTATCTGTGTGAATGGCGGGTTGAAACTCGATCCGGGTCAAACTCCACGATTGAAAACTTGCATGTTAACACAGTCATCCTGTTTTCAAATTCTATGAATGCATGTACCGCAGAAGAATTCATGGACTACAAGCAAGAGTGGAATATACGCCATCACAACTAGATCACGTTCATACCTTTAGGCTGGCGAGCGTAGGCAGAAACAGATCTTCACCTTCAGCTGGCACCAGGCTCGGCTTGCAGGACACCAGCAGTGGTCGGCAGCCAAGCACGGCGAGTCTCTCCAGCACAAACTCGGCCGCCTCGCCCTGGCTGCTGGCAATACAGCGCGCCAGTTGCTCGCAGTGCTGCGGAAAGTCGGACAGGTGCGACAGCGTCACTGTTACGGGCTTGTTGCTGGGTTGCAGCAGCACGTCAATACCTTTGTCATTCGTTGACGAGTACTTGGCGGGGAAGATCTACAACAAAATTAAAAAAACAACAATGGAATGAATTTGAATACTTCGCCGCAGCTGTATTTATGGTTGAATAACACGGTGGCAAGGACACACCTGGTGAAATAGTGGTACGCACACGCCTGCCCCCACAGGCACAAGCTCTCTAAGCTGCAATGTTACACTCTGGCACCGAGCTCTCCTTCTCACCACCATCACCATCAATTCGCGCATAGTGCCTAGTAACTGATATGGCGGGCGGGTACATTGGGGAGCATTTGGCACATACATGACCCAGCCACAGCTTGGCTTGATTGCGACGTACATTCCGTTCCCATTGGACTCGTTAGGCAATCTTGCTACCTGATGTAGACTCTACCAGCCCGCTATGTCAGATACCACTAGCCATGCACCGACCAGGCGCCGGGTGTGAACTGATGGCGGTGGTGATAAGACAGACTGAGAATATGTATCAAACACAATACAACCAGCAATGTTCCGGACACATTATAGCATGCTGCATCAATGCAACACAATATTATTCAGAGCGAGTGACCCCGAGGGGAATACCTGTGAAATTGGTACAAGCATAAACTATTAGTACTGACCTCTCCTGGAGATAGACCGGCGATTCCACTGGAAGCAGCTCCGTGAGCCTGCGGAAAGATCACATGACAGTTTACAAGGTCAAGTGTTGTTGATTTGGGTGCCTGTGCACACCAGCACAGCAGTACCTTGACAATACTACTAAAAGGTGTTTTATTGAACGCACAAAGCAATGACGATGTAAATGCAAGGAGGGCAAAGAATTCAAAAGGCGAACAGCAAAATTGAATGATAACTTGACAATACTTGCAGCAGCAAAGAAGCCAGTGTCATCAATACCCACCGGATGACAAAGGCAATCATTGTCGACAAAAGACCCGCATTATAGACTGCCAATTATTCAGGGCATGGCAATGAAGGCTCCGTGGGAGGTCACTACAGCATCAACTACTCTACTCTGCTCTGCATGATGGGCACCAGACCCCATCGGTAGCAAGCGCATTATACAAATGTAAACAATAGTATTTTTTTGTTTATTCTGACTATAGTCGCACTATAGTACTGTCTCTATGAGAGATAATGCTCTCAAATCTACGTTGTGAATTACACTCCGTATCACCTTGAATTGCTAAAACCAAGAGTACATAAAACCCAGAGTGTGCAGCTTGGGGCCTTTTCTGCTATGGGTGTCAGTCACGGCGGAATTCCGTGATTACATCATATTTGGCGCAGATCTGAGGCGGGAAATGGCGTAGTGCGTACAACTGAGCTGCAGTTGTGCAGAAAGAGACCTGCTTGTACGCACTGCATCACTAAAATGATGTAATCACAGAATTCCGCCGAGACAGCAACCCATCCGAGCTGCACGCTCTGGGTTTCATGTACTCTTGCTAAAACATTGCTAAAAAAGGGGGTGTGCATTATACTCCGGCAAATACGATAACTTCCATTTCCCTAATTGAAGAAGGGTACTAACAGCTGTGCTTTGAAGTCTCGAAAAATGTAGTGTCGTGCATAGTGGGTTTAAGGAGGAGAGTCTGCGGTTGCGACAAACCTACCTTGAGCGACAGCCGTAGTTTGCCATGGTCTACAGAGATGACTCTACACTGCAGCACTTGACCAACATAGTACATCTTGCCCAGGTCATCATCGAACGTAGACACACTATGCACAGAAGAGAGGTAAGGCCACAGCAAAAGATCAAACATGGAGGATACCATTTCATTACACCCTGAGATGCAACACAGGTCAAAGTACAAAAACGGAATTCGAGAAACGGGAATATTTCCTAGAATCCAATATCTAGGTATCAACAAAATGTATGGACCTCAGCAAACAGCTGTATAAGTACACACTAGTATCCAGTAGCCGTCCTCGCCTTATCACTGCCCTCACCGCCATACGCGTGCCCTCATCATCTCAACCTGGCTCTAGTCACCGCTCCCTCAACACTTGCAAGCATCCTATTGCCCCAGACTTACCTCAACTCTGTGCGATGCAGCAATCCTGTTGTCCCACCATAGAAGGCGACAATCAATCCGTAGTGGCGGATACCAGCCACAAAACCAGTGTAGTTGGAACCCACAAGTGCCTCGCTGATCTTGGAGAGGACAGGCAGCTCACTACGGACCATGGTCTTCTTCGCTGTGAGCAACAGGCGACGGCGTGCTGGAGTCACTTCGAGAATCTGCTCGCAGCAACACGCATATGATAACACACAATGCCTGTCCGGTCCATCATCCACATCGACAGCTACATTTCAAACCTCAAACGCCAACAGCACTCACTGCACAGTATGGACAAGAGACACATGCAGATAAACACATAGGCGCTTAGTACTCACCCTGCACGCCACCTTGCCGCCTTCACGGAATTTCTTGCCCGGCTTCTTCAGCGGGATATCGGCAAGATGCATGAGCGGAATGAAGCCGCGCAGATGGTCACTAACTGCCACCACCACACCGGATGTTTCAATAGAGATGACCTCCACCTGAGCAGGAAATGAATTAAGAACCCAAGGCAAAGAACTGGTAGAACAAAGCAGTACAAGTACAAGAGGAAGGCAACAGAAACTCCACGTCTGCAGCATCATCAGTACATGTACTGTTATCATACCACATGCACACACCTTCACCTGGTGGTGATCAGCCACCGAGGATGTCATTGGCATGTATGTTTATCATACCACATGCACACACCTTCACCTGGTGGTGATCAGCCACCGAGGATGTCATTGGCATGTATGTTTATCATACCACATGCACACACCTTCACCTGGTGGTGATCAGCCACCGAGGATGTCATTGGCATGTATGTTTATCATACCACATGCACGCACCTTCACCTGGTGGTGATCAGCCACCGAGGATGTCATTGGCATGTATGTTTATCATACCTAAACAGAGCCATTACAAAACAATGGAAACAGCTTTCCAACACTACATCCATTCTAAAAACTGGTACACAACGTTGCTCACCTTCATGGATGTACCGAGAACAACATCCTTCAAGCCAAGGAATGGCCGATCCAAAATTGACCTGTCATCAAAAACATCAAAAAGGATAAATAAAGCAAGGATTGCATTCAACCAAATAGGCAGATACAGCCTACTCAGCCAGTGTAACAAAGGCATCACCTGATGTGATGTGGGCAACAATGAGTCAGCTATCATCATGCACCAGTCCTGCTCCAAAAGGCCGGGGCAGGTTTGCTCGGATTCGGATCTGGATGTGACCTATCATTTCAAACTGAGTGGATCCTACGGGCCTGGGTCTGGATCCGGCTTAACAATCAGAGCCTAGTTGTTGTTTCGTCAGGTTGCCTTGCCTGTGTCAAGAACAGCTTTTCAGCCACACACATACACATACACACACATACACACGCACACACACGCACACAGACATGACTGCAAATAACAACAGTACACAACCACTTACTGCTGCATTGATGCCGATGCGAGGCCATCCAGCGAGTTGAATCCAAGAATACGACACCTACAATCGACAGTGGAATCAACCAGAATGTCACGAGTCGTACCAGCACTATCACCAGAAACATTATCCAGCGCTGCTCATGATTCACACCAAAATGATCACTACACTCCTTACCGGGCCCGTATCGCAACTGCAATAGCACACGCCAAGCACATCCTGAAGACCCGAGACTCTCTCTCTCTTTGTTTAAGGAGTTCACTGCCAACAGCCCCCAGAGAATTCCATTGGGCTCTTTTTTTATCATTCAATGTTTTCTCATTCCATGCATATAATATGGGCTTGGTTGAGTAAAGTCCATGCTACACACACACGCACGCACTCAAACCACATACAACCCATACAACTTGCCCACCGCACAGGTATAATTCTAATTGGAAACTCTACAACTACATGCACAAGAGGAAGATCAAGTTGCAGTCATGCAGCAAAGACGCCCAGCACATCAATCGGAGAAGAGCACAATGAGAACACACAGCACTGCAGACCTACTTGTGCACTGTGCCAGTCTTGTGGCGCTTGCCGATCTTCTCCAGGTGATCGTCAGACAAGTTCGAAATCTACCAGCATGCAGCACGAGATGACAAAGCACGCACGTGAGCGCGCGTGCACGTCCACACACACACACGCGCGCGCGCACACACACGCACATGCGCACACAATAAGAAGCTCATTACAAATCACTGAAGTAAAAACACCAACAGACATGACAGTTCTCCCATGTCTCTCCATGTCTGCATTCGCAGAGATCCGAAAGCAGTGAAGACAAGGACAGACAGAAGAGATCCGAAAGCAGTAGCGATGCCAAGTGACACTTACATGTACGAATCCATGCATGCCAGCGTCCGTCATCTTGATGACAACGCCGACATTCTCCTCCACGTGCTTCACAGCGGCCTCCTCTACAATGCCACCCAGTTGTAGGTCAGGAAACGTGTAGGCCTTGTTCTCCACAATGTGCTGTTGGGCTGAGAAACCAACCACTTTAGACGTTAGGTTGACGTGGATAATACGAGCTTTGATCTGCAAACAGAGATGAAGTGCAAACAGTACAGAGCCATCAGGCAGGCATGCAGGCAAGCAGATGACAGATACATAATAGGCAGATACTCAATCTCCGGAGAGCTAGCTGTTTCGATCTTGACAGATACAAGTGATATATACGGAGCTGGAGCACATGTATATAGACAGATAGGCCAATAGCAGAAGACAGATGCTGTAACGCTGTGCATAAAAAAGCAGGGCTTATGGCCACACGGCATTCGAACTGGAGGTGGAACAATTGATCATGAAACACTGCCCCTAGAAAAGAACAGACGCCCGACCACCATAACAGCGTTTTATCGCATATAAAGCACTACACTCAAACGTCTCTTATCCGGACGCCTCAGATACGGGCACGTCTCTCTACCGGGCACCTTCAGCTTGAGTTCCTATGGCAAAATGCTTCGAGTTTGGGGATTTTGAACCTATTTTCGTATGCACAATTGCATATTTGTCACTGCCAACTTGTGTAATCCACACATTTTCATCAATGGTTTATTTTTTATCCTGAGCATGTGCAATACGTGCCAAATAAACTTCATCAAAAACTGATATGGTACATGTTAGATGAGTTATCCTGAGATACGGGCAAATCTGAGATACGGGCAGTGCCCGGTCCCAAGGTGCCCGGATAAGAGACGTCCGAGTGTATTTTTTTTAGCAATGACCAAAGCCATTTTTCTAGGTAGACAGAGCAACGGATAGATGGATGGAGATGAGAGATAGGTGGGCAATGGGCATCCTTACCTTCTTGCTCGGCGGGAGCTGACTGGCGTTGAACAGCTGCTGCGGAAGATGGAACGTGCTGATCATGCCGGCAATACCGCTCAGGAAAGACATGGCAGCTCCGTTGGGCGCACGCTAAAAGCAGGGCAGGGTTCAAGGTACACATGCCGGTCACCGTTCATCTCACAATTTCAATCACCCTCCCAATGCGCTCACTTTGATAAACCTAGCACTATGCAAGCGAGAAACAGGACGTAGATTCACGGCTCAGCATTCGAATAGGACAGCTCATACCAGAGTACAGTGAAGAACAGTTACTGGCGATCTGCTTACCTGCAAAATCTTGCCACTGACCATCATACCGGGCGTGAGCTCAGTGAAGCGGGTCACACAGTCCGAATTCGCCTGTCAGGCCCAGGCACAGTACACACAGCGCAGCATGATTATATCATCTCAAATTCTCAATGACTCGGTAAAAACATTCTTCCTGAGGCCACCCTACTTGCAACCTTCTCAGGGTCGAAACTTAATGCAGCCCTCCGCAACGTTATCAATCCAACGTACTTGTTGGATTGATAGGTGGCTGAAATCTTGTCACAGGGCAACTGTACTTTAAAAGTAAAAATAAATACGAGTCTAGACAGAGAAGGTAGCACCAAGAAAGTACGATATAGGGCTCCGAAGTGATGACGCGACACATTCCCGACAGCGCATGCCAACGGCAGCTCTGAGTACAAATCTTAGCGTCCCTTTGCTCGGCACTGTGCTTGCAATAGGGCTTGAAAGTGCTACGTCACAGCATAGCAACAATTTCAAAAATTCAAAAATTGGATCCACTTGGATCCAGTTTTTATATGGATCCAAGCACATTTCAAGCCGTCTTACTCACAGCAAGGTGATGTAACCAGTGAAACTGACTGATTTGGCTACTGGGGGCGGGGTTACAACTGGTGGCGAAGTAAAAGTCACCCCTGCATACGACATGAGTGGGTTGCTATGCACCCACATACTGAGGCAATAGCAAAGTCACACCTTAGTGGATCCAAAATAGAAATCTGATGTCAACTTACTACTCCCTGGCCGTTTTTGACGTCATCACTTTCAAGCCCTATAATCTGCTGATTTTAGTATGGCGGGAATCATGGGGTGTTTCGCTGCAAAAAAATACATGCTGGGGGACGCTTTGGTTGTGAGCTTGTTGCACCCAGTTACCACGCAGTCGTCAATAAACTGACGTTACGCTTCGCAGCCCTATTCCGGTAGTGTGTACGTTTTTTTAAACGTAACAGCTTGACGGAAACGCTGTCAGAACTATTTCAAACTCTGGGTAAAAATAACGCTTACCACAGCCTCAGCGACTTCGGTTGGGTTGATAGTGACAGGAACCACACGCGTATCAGCGTCACACTCAAGCACAAGGCAGCGGACAGGCTGCCCAAGTACCAGGGGACGGTCTGCAGTAGAAAACGGAGAGGGGCAGAGGGTCATACGTACTGTCAAGATGAAAATCCAAAGTCCCAAACACTCATACAACTCTGCCGTCTCTCCACAGATAATTAAACTTCAACAGGACAAAGCTACGCTGAAGTAGGCGAGGAATACAAAAAGCTGCAAATGTTATTCATTATCTCCGAGATACTGAACTAGAAACGGGGACATCAAATGGGTGCATTACAAACCATGTGGACGTACAACCTTGTCTTCAAACACCGGCATTGACACACACTCACTTACCACCATTGTGTAGCTTGCTATAGGTCTTGGCTCGGCGATTGTGCAGGAAAGCAGTGCGCCTCTTCAGGCCAAACTCGATAAGATAGCCATGCTCCTCAATACTGGAAACGTGACCTTGCACAGTCTACAACACAGCACAAACACCGAGGTTAGTGCATTCAGACATACGAGCTAGGATCAGCCACACGCAAATCAGTGTAGCAGAAGACCAATCATGGCCAGAGGGCTGAATTTATGATGCCCACCGGCAGCAATTCCCCTTCTGTTCAGAAAAAAGTAATCATAAAAAAGGAAACGGGGGTAGAGGAATAGCCAGAAAAATGTGATTCGTTATGGACAGAGCTGGAACTATGAAAAATGAAACAAAACAAAATTTAAAAAAAGGTTCTACCGAGATTTGAACTCGGATCGCTGGATTCAAAGTCCAGAGTGCTAACCATTACACCATAGAACCCTGACAGTGACCTGTCTGATCGAATAGGTATAACACACACTCTCCTTACAGCGGCACTCCGAGGAATAGAAAACGAGCCCAATGCAAATAAAAGCAATCCTACTTACCACACCCGGGCGAAGAGCATCTGAGCTAAGCGACTGATTGATTTCTGCCGAATGCAGAGAAAGACGAATACGCCTCTTCTTTACATCCTTTGTACTATGTGTCTCCTTGATTATGCAGGTCAACAGCTGGCCAACGTGAAACATAGAGTTGAGAGCAGGAGCATCCGAGTCCGGCGTCTCCTGAAACAAGACAATGGTTAAGGAACACCTCTCTTTCAGCCTTTCTTGAGAAGAGAATATGATATTAAAACTAAAAACAAAGGCAGGGTGCAACAAACAGCAGCATGTGAAGTGCAATCTTGCACAGGTCGCCAGGGAAACATTGGCAAGATAAGCAAGCAACGTGTCATAAGGAAACTAAGTATTTCGAATGACAATATCGTATGCAATTGTATTGAACAATAACCCAGTACGTGTGATGCTATTCAAAGCACCCTGGACATAGGGCTTCGAAGTGGTAACTTGACAACGCATGGCAACGAAATTTCTGGGTACAAACAAACATTAGCGGTCCCTTGCTCTTCACTGTTTTTGCAGTATTGTGCAGGTTTCTGATGGTGGGAATCAATGGTTTGCTTGAATAAAGAGCTTTTCTGGGTGCTTCTTGTTGATAGTTAGAGGTTTGCAAGGCTGATGGAGCTATGACTGGTCTTCCCGGTATTTCGAAGGTGAAACAAAGGGTCTGCAACGAGCTGGCAAAAATATTTCAGAGTTCTGATCAGAGTTCAATTCTCGCTTGCTTCAGCATCTTTCCGCCTCGTAAAGAGAGCAAATTCAGATGTCCGAAGTCACGAGAAAGGATACAGCGCAATTACCTCTCACAGTCAGCGAAAGAAAACTTTACCTGCATGCACGACGTACTCCATGCTCCTCGGGAAATGCAATAAAAAGTGCTGGATTCGCACCCCGATTTGTAATTTTAATTTCATGGAAGTCACTGCTCTACTCTGCCCTGCAGAAAGGAGGACAAAGCCAGCAGACTCGTGTCCCGGAAGGACAATAAACGGGTATCCGGGTACTTCGTGTGAGGTATCTACTCTAATCTGCACAAGCCATGATGTAAATTTGAAACTTGCAGTGCAAAATACCACGTGCTGGGGGACACGATGGTTGTTTGTACCCAGTTCCTACGAAGTTGTCAAGGACCTGACGTCAGACTTTGAAGCCCTATTGGAGGGCTTGGCGACAAACAAACAATACAACGGCCAGCCAAACTCACCTCGTCGTCTTCACTGTCTGACGCATCGCCTTTGGCGGCTTCAATTTCTGCCGCCTCTGCAGCGCGTAGGAGCGCTTCTGTGTACTGAGGTGAGACGTCCGTGGGGCGTACGTAGCCCGACAAGCCATGCGGCAGGCTGACAATCAGCTCAAAGTCAGTAATCTCATTGACAGCACCGAGCATCAGCATTCCAACAGAGAGTTTCTGAAAAGCAAACGGTCCACACGTGTATATTCAATTCGGGTCGTCAAATCATCAAATCTACATGTATGGAGCTAATCAACACATTTTTAGCACACATAATGTTGGACTATGCCGTGATCTGGAGAAAAGGATACCCTTGATCAATACACACAACATGTGACAAAAAAAGATAAGCCATGACAAAATTCACAGGGCAGTTGCAACAGTCGCAATCACTGATCGCAACCCAGTGGGTCCACCTGGGGAATACAAGCCATGCTGCTCATTACACAAACAGAACGCACCATACGCACAGTATATTAGTGCAGAGATGTTAGAATTACCTTGAACGAGAGCACATCCACGGAGAACTTCCTCTTTTCTGCAGCAGCCTCTGCGTCCTTCTCCTTGACACCAGGAGCCTGGACATCTCTCTTCCGTTTTTTCGGCCTGGGCTTCTTTGCGACCTCTGCAGCTTCCAGCTCTTCAGCATACTTGTCAGCCTTTCCATCTGGCTTCTCATCGGTGGACTGAAAAAAACAATATTGGATGATATAACGTTATAGTTCAACAGTGCCTGGAAGCTAAATATATTGAATGATAGAAATTCCTCTTCATTTCTTAAAATATGTACATAACATTGCCTGTGCTTCCACATTCATCTACCACAACCAATGTAGAAGCATGTCACCAGCCAGGGACGCATGGCAGGTGAAACTAAACTACTTTCTGTGCAAGCAGCACAGTGAATGTATCAGTACTGCAATGAAGGCTAACCCTTTCACAGTCTCACATCATAAAATCCAGCATCGGGTGATCGATTTTTCAACTCTCGTAGATCAGTCAATTCTGGCAAAACTCAAACATCTAGAAAAAAACTCCAGGCTATCCGTAGGTAAGAACAATCACAGAAACAATACCAAGTAGAATGGCTGCATTACGATCTGCATCATGGCTCATTTGCAATTTTAAGTGGCGGGCAGCGCATCTTGAGGACGGGGTTCCCCTTTGCACTTGACTGTTACCATACAGACACTGATTCAAATGAGAGCATGGACTCGCAGGACTCCTCACAAAATAGTTGAGCTCAATGTGAGCAAGGAGAGACATGGCTGTTGAATCTTGTTTTTCTGTCGTGAATCAAGCATTGGGAGGATTTCGCTGGGCTGCAGCGCTGGACCCATGGCACGCTGGGCGTCGAATTGTCGCTGGGTGTGTTGCTTGTGTCCAAAGCTTTCCAGAGAGCCAAAGATCATGAAATTCTGCCACGGGAAGCTGAACTTATGGATGAATCAAGGTACATGTACAAATTCGTTGAATTTTGTAAATAGCCTCATTTTGAACACTACTGATTACAATGTACTGTAAGAACAGTAATGTTAACGAACATTTAATTCTAACGAGTTGACGAATTTTGAAAAAATCGTTAACATAAAGTCGTTATGTGCAAAACGATACGTACATGTACAGCCATTTTCCGGTTTTGAGACAGAATTCGTTAGAATTTCACCTCGTTAACCCACAAAAATCCGAAGATCGTTAGCTTTAATTGATGTTAGAATATCTGGTCTTACAGTGCTGGATTTGGAGACTGTGAAAGGGTAAGCCACGATTCATCGTAGGAATAGAACAATACCTCAGATCCATAAAACTACCGTATTTTCCCCGAATATAAGTCGCACCTTTTTACAATAAAATTCAAGGGCAAAAAAGGGGGTGCGACTTACAATCGAGCATGACTTACTACTGACGTGAATTTATCGAAATGATACGGCCCAACACTGAAAATGGGGGTGTGAATTATAATCGAGCGCGACGCGTTCGAATTGTCACTCTTTGACTTTTCGAGGAGTTTCGTTTTTCTGAAGAGGTGGCCTTATTGGCCTCTTCAGAAAAAAACGAAACTCCTCAAAACTCCACAACCTCATCCGATGGGAGAGGTGGATTAGTTCCGAAGAGTTTGGAATAGCTACGTCACGTAGTACGTGGAGATGGTCGATCTGATCAGACGTCATCAGCGCCATGACAATTCCACTGAAAAACTCTAAAAAACCGTTCTAATGGGACACTTCAACTAATCTCTTTTAAAAATTTGTTTGAACAGTTGATGAAGACAATTCGAACGCCCCCTTAGTGTACTGATGGGTCGTCGCAAAAGTTTTTTTGTCGTACCGAACATCGTTCATTTCGTACTCAGACGCCTCCCCTCCCTCTGAAACGAAAACAGCTTGCTATGCTGGACGACGAAAATCGCATGCATGTACACAACATAGGTACAGTGTCGGTCAACGTGCGATTTTGGCACTGCAAAAAAACTCTTCCATGTATCGTGTTATGATCACTAAACGTACATGTGGTAACTAACTTGAATGAGCATTATATTTATTCGATTAAAGAAATTCACCTTTCCCAAGTACATGTACCGGTATCAAAATGAAACATGACTTTATGCCCAATACTAGTATTTTTTATTAGAAATTAAAAACATTTATCAAGAATCAAACCTACTGTATTACTCTTCATTCATATACGGTCTATACAGTACCGTAAAAGCCCCTGTATACGCCCACCCTCCGTGTACACGCCCAGTCAGGGGAAGTCAACATTTTTGTGTCAAAATAGCGCCCATGCCCATGGCCCATGTATACGCTCAGCAATGCCCGTACATGTACAGGTACCGATCCCCAATACTTACTGCTATGTTGATGAATGTGTTTCAGGATCGCTTTTCCAAACCAAAACACTGTTTCTGGTTCATTGAAGTGGGGATACTGTATTTATAGTGTGCATGCTGAATTGCTCAGATAACAAATGAATACAGTTTCGAGTCGTATTGAGCCAGGGGAGAATTTCAACATTTGTATTCCAAATATACGCCCGGTTCCAAAATTACGCCCGTGCCCTTGTATACGCCCAGGAAATCGAGGCTGCTATTGAAGTATTCTATACGCCCGGGGCATATACACAAGCTTTTGGTATATTATATAATCAAGTCAAGTGCTACAAATCAGTATCATGTTCCCCACTCACCTCACGAAAGAGGACATCACTTTTCGCCTGGCGAGCGATTTCTCGCCTCTCCAATTGAGAAATTGTGGCTTGTCCGCCACGAGGGAAATCTTCCCCGTCCATGACAGGGTTGGAATCTTTCTCAATATAACGAGCTGATAACACGTTGACTACAGACTCCAAAAATTTAGCAGCAATAGCAGCATTGCCCACAAGAGTGAATTGATGAAGTAAAAGTGTGCTGAGAATCGACTACATTTTGCAAGTCCGTTTTTCAGTAAAAAAAAGTGAATGTTTCTCCGGCGCCATATTGTTTCCATGACACTGCACTGCAAAACAATACGAGACAGAAAAAAATGCATTGGCCGGGAATCGAACCCGGGCCCCCCGCGTGGCAGGCGAGGATTCTACCACTGAACCACCAATGCTTGGACAAAGTACATGGGTCAAAACCAGCTGCATAATGATCACAAAGAAGTGCTCACTCCGATGTTGACCATGGTTGTCTGTCCACATCATCATTCTTCATGCTGACATGCATGATCTCCACGCAGGCCTAGCGCCTGCAGGTAAGGAGCGTGTTCACAACTGGCGCATGTACGCGTGAAACCACGCGTTTGTGCGTATTTTTGCTGGCTTTTGGGGCGCCCTGCGTACGGAAACGCGCCGAAATAAAAAATGGAAATATTTAATTCCAACATGTTGGAATTTTCAGCACGTATCAGGCGCGTACATGCCAGTCACTTTGACTGGCGGGGTCAAAAAATTAGTACTCGAAGGTGTCGCACGCGCTAAATACGACTGGGATACATGTAGCTGTTTTTTTGTGAAAGCTTGAGCGCGCGTTTGGGCAAGCATGAACTGGAAGCGTACCGCGTCCACGCGCCAGTTGGGAACACAGCTTTACAGTGATAATGCGGAGCACTTCTTCTGTGATGGTATGGAGCAATTTTCTTTAGGCCTTGGCAGTTGGCACCATGTACCGATGGTCCATGTCCATGATGTACCAGGGAGCCTACTAAAAAAAACCGGCTATGTTTTCGATAACAGGGACAGCCTCATGTTCATCGTGACAAGGCGAGGACGCACAGTGTTCCTGACTACAACCAAAACCGGGTTGGCAGAGCTAGAGTCCTGGTCTTGCGACCATTTGAACCGTATCGGGGGAAATAAAGGAAATTATGACCAAGTTCTGTATGTCAAATCGCTGTATTCGCATCATCAACAAAGACCAACAGCAACAACGAGAACAACAATAAGGAGAACAACAACAACAACAACAACAACAACAACAACAACAACAACAACAACAACAACAACAACAACAACAACAACAACAACAACAACAACAACAACAACAACAGCAGCAGCAGCAGCAGCAGCAGCAGCAGCAGCAGCAGCAGCAGCAGCAGCAGCAGCAGCAGCAGCAGCTGCAGCAGCAACAACAACCAATTTCTGTTCAATACACATAACATAACATGTTGTAACGGACACCAACGTGCAGACGGGGTGTTCCAAAGTGGTGAAGGCCTGCCCATGGCCCGTCGGAACATCACCGGCAACCTCGTCGGCAGCGAGCACCTTCTCACAACAGCTGTCATGGTGATGACGGTAACTGTTACGCGGCTGACGAGCTGAGAGAAGGACGCCATGGCATGATGGGCAGAAATTGGAAGCGGAAAACTACTTGAACAAACCGAAGACAAAAAGAGAAAAAAAAGAAAGAAAATGAGAAAGTACAGAGAAAGACAAAAATTAACGACAATACAATCACTAAAAAATAGGGGTGAAACGGTTCGGGTAAGGAACCGGTTTTGGAACCGCCAGCTGAAAAGAATCGGGTACCCGTTCCGTCAAATTTCGAACCGAAACTCGAAAAATCTCGTTCTCTTACAAATGCATGTCACGTCTACTCAATATTTTACCTTACGATCACCGCTCTTCCAAGGACCAAAGGGTTCTCCTGGTCATTATCTTCTTCGCACATGGACTCTCCGATGTCTCGCTCTTGTTCGTAAACATGTTTTCAAAAAAATTTATTGTCACGGACACATTTTGTCGGTCTGGAGAAAAGAGTACATGGAACCGATACCCGAACCGTGGAAAACTATGCTGGTGTTAGGGTTAGGCCTAGCCCAAATTTGCTCGGGGCGCTTCGATATTTTGCCGGCAAATTTTGCTCGATGACTTTCCATATTTTGCTAGGCATTGCCTTTCGTTTCCGATATTTTGCTCCATTTTGCTCCTGCTTTGTGGCAAAAATGGCTTCGAATGAACCGTCTACTTCGGTAAAAGTGGATGGTGACTCTGATGAGGAAAGCAAAACTTATAATGGTGTCAGTATTACGGATTTGGTAGCATGATTTCAAATTTATGTGCCACTGACAACCTGCACGAGCTATTTCAGCACGACGTTGGCCCAATGAAACCAAAGAAATATGAATAAAATTGCCAAAACACACCCGGATCCTCTGTAAATTCGATATTTTGCTCGGAATTTGCCAGCAATTTCTTTTCGTTGGAAAATTCGACGATATTTTGCTGGAAGAATTGCCGGCAAATTTGGGCTAGGCCTAGTTAGGGTACCCGAAAATGAAAAACATGGAACCGTTTCACCCCTACTAAAAAAGCATTGACATACATGTATCCAAAAACAACAGCAACACAACACCACCACCACCAACAACACAATATCAGCAACAACAAAAAATCCCCAAAGCCAACCACCACCCCCTAGAATAAAGTGGGTCTGAACCGGGGTTTTCCCCCATACGTCTGACACGGTTCAAATGGTCGCAAGACCGGGACTCTGCCAACCAGATTATGGTTGTAGTCAGGAGCACCGTGGGTCCTCGCCTTATAACATGCTGTCGAAATAGAAAACATGTCAAGCAAGCTTCTAAGTTCAAGCAAGGCTTCTATATAAAAAAACACTTGTAGTAGACCCAGGTGCTCAAAGTCCGGACACGTATCCTAACTAATTCCTAAGTCTGTACACCCATAATTTCATGTTCTGTTATTGTATTCGACTCGAGATGGAATGTCAAACTCGATCTGCGTCAGCAATACACACCTGGGTTCTAGCCAGGTCAAAATACTAGGGTGGGGGGGGGGGGGGGGCAGGGAAAGCAGTTACCCCGTAACCCATTTTTCCATTTTCAAAACAACTTCTTGCAATGCGAAATGCAACGTACGGGGCAAACACCGGACTTCACCCCAGACAAATGTGCCTTTATGAACTCTCGTACTGACTATCGACTGCATAAAATGAGTAGGGGCGCTCCTTCCCCTTGGCTAGAACCCTGCACACTAATGACTATGTTCAATGAAAACTGTCTCAACTGACCAAGAAGATGCGTCTCAAGGCGGACTGTAAATACTGAAGTAAACAGTGATACGCGTATACATTGTGTCACGCACACTCAATAATAGTGATTATATAAACAGTCATTTATTATGCCTCTTTTGAATGCATTCAGGGAACACATTGCAGCGCTGCATGTACTATGTATGATACCTAAGTAAAGCTAGTCACAACCCCACTTTCAGCCCTCAGTCCTACCGCTTCAATGTGTTCACTCGAGTACTGAAGTAGCAACTAGTAAGCCGCACTTCGATCACAAGTAGCTTTATGTTCGGGGAAATGCGGGGTTCATTAAATGATTACTTAGACATTGCTATTGTGGAACACATGGCAGTACAAGATGCAACGCTCATCTCTATTTTCAGCTTGAAAACGTATTACACGGGTATACAGTCTGTATCGGCTATAGAGTGACCGGATAAAAGAATATATCGGCTACAGTGATATTGGTACGAAATATCAAAAGCAAAACGTATTTTATCCAGTAAAAATATCAATATAACCAATATTATCGGATGTACAGTAATCAAGAGTCCATAAACAAGAGTATGCAACCGTGATCTCTTTTCTATGGGCCAGATGCGCGGCGCGCTGCCTTCATTACATCATTCAGCTGCAGTCCGCGCACTGCGTAAAATCAAACACCGCACTTTCCCTCTGGTTTGAAATGAACTTTCGTACGCAACTGGAGTTCACGCGTCAGACTTCAGAGATTGCGTAGGTACTGGAAGGAATCGAGCAAAAATGGATGGGCTCGTACGAGAAATTGTGAGTTTGAATGCATGCTTTCAGAGCGTGATGAAGGCAAGTTACGTAATGAAGGCAAGTCACGTAATGAAGGCAAGTTACGTAATGAAGGCAAGTTACGTAATGAAGGCAAGTTACGTAATGAAGGCAGCGCGCCACGCACTGGGCCATAACCACAGTTGCATACTCTTGTTTATGTCTCTTGATGTAATGATATATCGGATATTATGATGGCAGCAAAGAATCAAAACATCAAGAGTCCATAAACAAGAGTATGCAACTGTGATCTCTTTTCTATGGGCCAGATGCGCGGCGCACTGCCTTCATTACATCATGCAGCTGCAGTCCGCGCATTGCGGAAAATCAAACACCGCACTTTCTCTCTGGTTTGAAATGAACTTTCGTACGCAACTGGAGTTCACGCGCCAGAATTTAGAGATCGCGTAAGTACTGGATCGAATCGAGCAAAAACGGATGGGCTCGTACGAGAAATTGTGAGTTTGAATGCATGCTCTCAGAGCGTGATGATGGCAAGTTACGTAATGAAGGCAGCGCGCCGCGCACTGACCCATAACCACAGTTGCATACCCTTGTTTATGCACTCTTGAAAACATGCATAACACAATATATTATTATCGGCTATAGCGATAACTATAAAATGCATGTAGCAATAATATCAAAGGCCCTATTTTTTACTTTCTTCACGTTGCTTATTTTTATAGTGATACATGTACATGTACATAGCAGAATTTTATATGGAAATACGGGCACTGTCAACTATGCAGCATGCTCATTTGTCAAAACGCCATGCTGGAAGTATTTCCTTGTTTTTCATGTGTCGATCGAAATAAAATAAAAAAATCGATCGTATCGCATAATTATAGTGATGCATCGGATATAGTGATAATATCACGAAAATCAAAAGGGTACACTATAGCCCATACAGACTGTATTTTTGAATTGTATATCAAGGTAGCGGCACAGCGGACATCAGCATTATGTTATGTACGACATGCATCGACGATGCCTTTCAGTTGTTCCTGAACATATTCGGCATTCTTGCCAGTGCCAGTTTCCTGACGCACAACAAAGCGCAGAAAAGCTGGTAAATGAATTGGAGGTGGGCAGGATGACTTCTCCACAATCTTCTGGAAGCAGCCAGGAGGATACTTGACCACAGCATCAACAAATAAATCTTGAAAGAAATTTAGAGATGCAGGATCCAGGTGTGAGAAATCAACATTTTTGATCAATGCCAACGTCAGTGTTTTCTCCAGAAGGAAGTGCAGCATCAGTTTCCTCAAAACAGCTGTTTGGCGCTTGTTCATCGATGCCAACGACTTGAGCCGGTCCCAAATAGCCAATCTGATGGTGATCTGGTGGCTGCGGCTGTAAGCTGCCAGCTTGGCACATAGGCAAGCGTAAAATATGTTGAACTCTTTTTCCTGGAAGCAGCAGTGAAGAACAACATGTACTATCTCTCGTTCTTGCTGACCTTTCAAGTTGAGTCGAAGCAATTTCTGAAAGGCATCCACGACATCCTCACATGTCATCAGTATTCCGAAGATGTTTTTCCTCAGGTCGGTGTTGAGGTGTTGCACTCGAGCTAGTTGCGACAACTTCTCATCCAGCACAACGTGGCTGTCACTGGCTGGTTGCTGGCCAGACGCTGTGGACCTTGCTGAAGTAGAGCGACCAGTCCAGGCAGAGCCAACTACCCACCAGCGACCTTTCTCCTGTGCATTTGCCAGGTCATCATAGCCAATACGCATTTGTGCGTCCGCCAATGCTACCGATCCAGGTAACATTCCGCGTAAAACACGGGATCTGTGCCGTATTGAGTCTGGATCGTAACCTGGTAGTTTGCGAAAGTTGTTGTGACAGACTGCCATCAGCGCATCTATCGTAAACCGCATCCGCGACTCATCAACTCTCGTGGTATCCTTTGACCTGCTTCTCACTGTAGAGATGACCTCTTTGAGAGCACTGGGGTCGTCCTTGCGAATATCCCCGCCACAGGTTTTCAGCAGCTGCAGCAGCATGGTGATATCTTCATCCTGAAAGCGGCCCAGTAAGCGCTTTATGATGTCAATGATGAGAGAATAGCGTGCAACCTTGAAGAGGTAGAGATGAGCAAGCATGGCTACAACATTGTCACATTCCTTGCTTGATTCAGCAGTAGTCCCAGAAGCTGTGCTGCTCGCTGCTCCTTTATGTCTGTGCAGCGAATCAAAGTGCTTCACCAGCTCCTCCAGGAAATGACAGCCCACATCCGTGTCGACAGTTCGATGTAACACAGCAACAAGCAGCATGTGCTCTGCCAACAGACGGTCAGGTTGCAATGCCGGTGTAATACAAACTGCCAATATGCATCTACTCAAACACGTATTGGTATTGTTACGACTATTGGTGGAGAAGAGCTGCTGGATCTTGTTGCTAGTAGTCTTCAAGGTGCTTTCGCACAACCGGTTAATCAGCCCTTTCACTTGACGTGCCAGCTGATCAAACTTCTCGTCGTGAACCATCTCTTTACTGCTAGCAGCAGAATACCGAGTGGCATTGTCGGCCTCCATAGGAGCATCATCATCACCACCATCGCTTTCGCTGTAGTCATATTCAACATCGCCATCGCTCTCATCATCGTCGATGTCACTATCCTCGCAGCCAAACAGCACATCATCGTCATCACTAGCACCACCACCAACAGTAGCATCAGCATCCTCAGCAAACTCATCATCCATCTCCTCCTCTGAGGTGCTGCTGTCGTTGTCATCACAAGCATCGTCACCACTATACCCACGCCTGGAAACTTTCTGAGTTGCGCCTGGCGGTACTGCTGCTGCTGCTGCATTGCGCTTTTCCTGGACGTATTTTTCTAGTTCCGTCAACCTTTTAGCCGGTTTAGTGGTGCCGGTGGTTGTCTTTGCTGCCTGAGCCGGAGCAGAGGTGGACACGTGATCACAAACTTCTAGCAAATAATCCAGACCATCATCAGCAAAACCTTTTGGCAACTTTTTGCCTCTTTTTGTAAGCTTCAGCTGCTTTTCTAAACGGTGAATTTCACGATCCTCAAATCGGTTCGCAAAATCTAGACCTCCTTTGCTGAACTTAGATGATGCTGATGAATCAGCCTTGTTCCTCCGATTGCCTGCTCCATCCTTGTTGGTGGTGGCAATTTTGAAACCAGTAGCTTCAGTCTGCTGAGACTTACCGACCAGCCTTTTTCCCTGCTTCTTTTCCGAACGCTGTAGCTTTCGACGGGATTTCCTACTGACAGACGTCGTTTTGGACCCATCGCCAACTAGCCGTTGAATATCAGCTCTCGCTCGAGCCAAATTGGGAGCTTCTCGACTTCTAGAGTGGCGACCCATGGTAAAATGAACTGACTATCAAAGAAGAAAATGTTGTTCTTTTGTAAAAATTGTCTTGTGAAACAAAAAAATATTCGTGTGGTATGGACTATGGTGTTCCACGTGCCCGTGGTCCGTGGAAATGGGGAGCTAGCCTAGCGCCGGGCCGCCGGCGCGGCCGCCAGCAAAATATCGAAATTAATTTCCCACGAAAAGAAATTGCTGGCAAATAATAATTCCGAGCAAAGTAGAATATTGAATTTACAGAGGATCCGGGTGTGTTTTGTCAATTATACTTCAGAATGCTCTGTCTCCATATCAATGTGTTTGGCCTAGTTTCCTAACTCTTGATAGCTTTTTTGTAGTGAAAATTCATGAATTTTGTGATTTTATTTGAATCCTTGGTTTTAACGCATGCGTGGAACACCAGGTTTCGTTGATAAAAGCCCTTGTTCCCTCTATGTTCTTCGGCCTTTTTTCTAGCTCGCTCGAAGTAAGTTTCTTGGCAAGCTGTTCGATCTCGTTATCGACTGTTGTCTTGTACAGTACTTCCTCTTGGTTGTATTTCTAACTTGGTGTGTCTCTGTGCTTACTGTAGACCGCCTTTCAATCGTCAAACTGTCAAGTCCACTCTCAAGGATGGACTCGTCTGCAAGCTCCTTTACCTCTCCCGATGCTGCTGGTCAGTCATCGAGGATCATGGCGGACATGATGAGCCAGTTTGGAAAGGTCTCGCAGGTGATGGAGCAAATCGGCTCAGACGTTTCAAGTATTGCGGAACGAGTGTCTGCTCTGGAAGCGGCTCAATCCCGCCCTGACCCGGCACGAAGTGCCTCTATTTCGTTTTCCGCTCTGGCGCCAAGAGCTTCTTCAACACCGGGTAAAACCCGTGAGATCCCCAACCCCTCGGACTGTGAGTCAGAAGAGGAAATGGACGAGTCAAGCTTGCTTGACAAATCGTCTCAGGATTTCAAAGTGTCCTCGGATACTTTGGAATTCTTTCGGGAGAAATTTACAACAACTACCTCGAACGAAGTTCGGCGCCAATGGCGTAGTCGTTTTGGGCGCCCCAAAGTAGATGTGGCCTCTGCGCCCATCATGGACAAGATATTGAAGTCCCGATTACACCCTGCGACCAAGTCGCGAGACAAGGCCCTGTCGAAACAACAGGCCTTGCTTTTGGACGCCGTAGGTCCTTTGACCTACGTACTAGAGGAAGCTGGGAAAGAGACTCTCACCGTACAAGCCACGGTCGAAGCATGCCAACAGGCGTTGGCTTTTATTGGCAATGCAAATATGCATTTGAATAGAGAAAGGCGGCGAAATGCCATTCTTTGTATGAATCGCGACCTTGCCGAAATGGCAGAAGATGACGATACGTTCAAAACGTCTGCACCCCAGCTGTTTGGAGATGGCTTCTCCAGAAAAGCGAAGGAACGGAGCGAAGAGCTCAAATGTTTGTCGCAGGCGGCGTCCTCGCGAGGTGGCAAGGCTTCCACCGGATCGTTTGTTCGAGGAGGCCGAGCCAACCATGCCCCACGGGGAGGCCATTCAAATCGGGGCAGTTTCAATCAGAACGGCAACCGGTTCCGACCTTACAGCGGAAACCAGTACAATCCCCAGTTCAACAGGAAGCCCAACGACAGAAGTCGTCAGGAGTCAGCAAAGTGAGCCATCCGCCTTTACCCCTTCCTCTAAAGGAAATAAAGAGTTTTCAAAACTACTCAATGTCTTCTGTTGTGAGTGCTCTCCAGCAGATGGGTGAAAAAGACATGACAGAAAGTGTCGTATTTCACCAGTTCCCGATTGCGGGAAGCGTAGCAATGCTTGCACAAGACTGGAATGCAATCAGCTCAGACCAGTGGGTCTTGAAATGTATTCGGGGTTACACAATTCAGTGGCTTCAGAAGCCCTTTCAATCTCACTCTCCAAGAGAGATAGTGTTTCGGGAGGAGGAGAAATCAAAATCTCCCTCGAAATAACTTTGATGGCGAACAAACAGGCCATTTCAGAAGTTTCAATACCCGAGCTTGGAAATGGGTGTCAGAGACCTGACACAAAGTGTCTCGACCCAATGCATGGTTGCGGGGTGTTCAGGGTTACAAAATTCACTTTGTTCAAGAACCCTTTCAAACCGTTTCCCCAAGGGAGATTGTATTTCAAGAGGAGGAAACGAAAAAGATCTCCTCAGAAGTTGTCGCAATACAAAGCAAACATGCGATTTCCGAAGTAATGCCTGCAGATCAAACGAACAATCAGTTTGTGTCTCAACTCTTCGCTGTCCCGAAGAAAGACAGAGCGATAAGACCGATTATCAATCTGAAAGCTCCGAACCATTTGTGGAAGTGTCCCATTTCAAAACGGAGGGTATACACATGTTGAAAGATCTGCTGAGACCAGGCGATTTCATGACGAAAGTCGACCTGAAAGATGCGCACTTCATTATTCCCATTGCCAGGGAATATTGCCGCAGACCAGCGAAAGTTGCTGCGTTTTGCATGGCAGGGAAAGATGTATCAGTTGAACTGTCTGCCGTTCGGACTATCGTCAGCCCCGCGGGTTTTTACCAAGACCTCAAGGGCGGTGATAATCACACTCAGGACTGAGGGTGATTATTCATATCGACGATATCCTGAGCATGGCGGAGAACGAGACAAACGACCACACGGCCGGTCTGATTTCCCTCCTGGAGAATCTAGGGTTCATTGTGAATTACCAGAAACCACAACCGAACTCCACCAAGGAGATAGATTTTCTCGGCTTAATACCGGTGAACTCCGAGAATCTGACGATCAGATTGCCGGGAGATAAATTTACCGTGGAGAAAACACGATCAGATGCAAAAAAATTGCGAGAGGAAAAAAAAACACACTCAGCAATTTCTGTAACTCACCTGTTGGGCAAACTGAGCCATGCTGCACATGCGATTCCACCAGGTCCTTTGTTCTATCGAAACCTTCAGGGCTGTTTGCAGAAAGCCCTAGGGGAGGGATCTTAGAATTACGATCATCCTTGTCTCTTGAGCAGCGAAGCTCTGGAGGAATTGGACTGGTGGATCGATCACCTGACAGACTGGAACGGTCGTCGTCTTCTCACGCCGAAACCAGACCTGGTGATAGAGACGGATGCCTCGACAGTGGGCTGGGGATCATCTTGCCAGAACTCCCAAACAGGCGGTCCGTGGAGTTGTCAGGAACGAGAGATGCATATAAACTGCTTGGAGCCGTTAGCAGCCTTCCTGGCTGTAAAAGCATTTCTGAAGTCAAGTCGAAATCTTCTGGTTCGCCTGAAGATGGACCGTGAACACCACAGCCTTGACGTATATCAACAAGTTCGGAGGCACTGTGTCTCCCGACCTCAATCGCCTCACCAAAGAGGTGTGGACATGGTGCATGGCAAGACAGATAACTCTCCAGGCCACTCACTTAGCAGGATCACTGAACACAGTTACAGACGACGAGTCTCGCGTGATGAAAGATCGATCGGACTGGATGTTGCATCCAGATGTATTCCAGGAGATCTTTGCTCGAATGGGTCCCATGAATGTAGACCTGTTTGCCTCTCGGCTGACACATCTCCTGCCGATGTATGTGAGCCGGCGTCCCGATCCAAATGCGATAGACATGGATGCCTTCTCGTTGGACTGGACAAAGTGGCAGGGTTATGCCAACCCACCTTGGAACCTGATAAGCAGAGTAGTAGCACAGGTCTGCCCTCAGAAATCTCGGATAGTGCTTGTTGCACCGGTATGGCTGAGTCAACCGTGGTATCCAGTCCTCCTGGACCTGCTGGTAGAGGAGCCCCTGTTGCTTCCCAGCACTCCAGATCTGATTCAGCCGACGCACAGCGTAAACGAACCGGAGATAGTCCCTCGTCTAGCCGCGTGGAATATCTCAGGAGAAAGTACACCAGTCAGAATGTTTCTGAGGAAGCTTCAGAACTCCTCCTTGGATCATGGAGGCAGAGATCTACGAAGACGTACGACTCCCTATTCAAGAAATGGATGGGCTGGTGTCGTGAACGGAACAATGATCCCTTTTCAAGTGATATAGCCACGATTGTCAACTTCCTGGCATCATTGTACAAAGCTGGTTATCAATACCGCTCTATCAATATTGACAATAATTACAGATCAGCAATTCCTTCCGTCCAGGAAAAAAACTGACAGGTATGACACTGGTCAACACCCAATGGTATCTCGTGCGGGTATCGATACTAGTATCTTCAAAGCACACTCTGTGCAGAGTGCTTCTGCATCCGCAACAGCGGATGCTGGTACTACTACGAATGATATCTTGAAAGCAGCAGACTGGAGCAGCCAGTCGGTCTTTCAGAAGCTCTATTATTAGACCCCAGCATGATGAGAAATATGCTCAGGCAGTTCTCTCGAAGCTGTCAACCACTGGCAGAGAGCTACAAAATCACATTGATATGGAGACAGAGCATTCTGAAGTATAATTACAGAATGGCTCAGACCACGCAGTGGTTGCCAGCTATTCTGGATTATATGAAGAATGTGATGTCGAACATATCAATGTCCCAACCCTGACCCTCCCTGTGTTATAATGCACATAATATGCTTGTTCCGAGGCTCGCTATTCAAAAGGCCGAAGAACATAGAGGGAACAAGGGCTTTTATCAACGAAACCTGGTGTTCCACGCATGCGTTAAAACCAAGGATTCAAATAAAATCACAAAATTCATGAATTTTCACTACAAAAAAGCTATCAAGAGTTAGGAAACTAGGCCAAACACATTGATATGTTCGACATCACATTCTTCATATAATCCAGAATAGCTGGCAACCACTGCGTGGTCTGAGCCATTCTGTAATTTTATTCTAATTTCTTTGGTTTCATTGGGCCAAAGTTGTGCTGAAATAGCTCGTGTAGGGAGCAAAACGGAGCAAAACCCTAGCGGGGGTACGAGTACGACCAAGAGTACATAACCCCCCGGGGGGTTATGTACTCTTGGTACGACACGTGCATGTATTAATATTGTGGATTTTATCGTATTATATTACGTCATTGATTCGCTTTTTTGTTTACGATTTTTGTCACAAAAATGCGCAAGACGTGAAAACATCAAGACAAAAGGACAAAACATTATTTTCTTCTTCAGTGCGTTGTGTTTTTCTACTGTCTTGTTGTGCAAACAGTGTTTGGTTGGTGAAGAGATGTGAGGAAATCTAGCCCGGTAACTGGGTAGAGTATACTTTACCATGGGTCGCCACTCTAGAAGTCGAGAAGCTCCCAATTTGGCTCGAGCGAGAGCTGATATTCAACGGCTAGTTGGCGATGGGTCCAAAACGACGTCTGTCAGTAGGAAATCCCGTCGAAAGCTACAGCGTTCGGAAAAGAAGCAGGGAAAAAGGCTGGTCGGTAAGTCTCAGCAGACTGAAGCTACTGGTTTCAAAATTGCCACCACCAACAAGGATGGAGCAGGCAATCGGAGGAACAAGGCTGATTCATCAGCATCATCTAAGTTCAGCAAAGGAGGTCTAGATTTTGCGAACCGATTTGAGGATCGTGAAATTCACCGTTTAGAAAAGCAGCTGAAGCTTACAAAAAGAGGCAAAAAGTTGCCAAAAGGTTTTGCTGATGATGGTCTGGATTATTTGCTAGAAGTTTGTGATCACGTGTCCACCTCTGCTCCGGCTCAGGCAGCAAAGACAACCACCGGCACCACTAAACCGGCTAAAAGGTTGACGGAACTAGAAAAATACGTCCAGGAAAAGCGCAATGCAGCAGCAGCAGCAGTACCGCCAGGCGCAACTCAGAAAGTTTCCAGGCGTGGGTATAGTGGTGACGATGCTTGTGATGACAACGACAGCAGCACCTCAGAGGAGGAGATGGATGATGAGTTTGCTGAGGATGCTGATGCTACTGTTGGTGGTGGTGCTAGTGATGACGATGATGTGCTGTTTGGCTGCGAGGATAGTGACATCGACGATGATGAGAGCGATGGCGATGTTGAATATGACTACAGCGAAAGCGATGGTGGTGATGATGATGCTCCTATGGAGGCCGACAATGCCACTCGGTATTCTGCTGCTAGCAGTAAAGAGATGGTTCACGACGAGAAGTTTGATCAGCTGGCACGTCAAGTGAAAGGGCTGATTAACCGGTTGTGCGAAAGCACCTTGAAGACTACTAGCAACAAGATCCAGCAGCTCTTCTCCACCAATAGTCGTAACAATACCAATACGTGTTTGAGTAGATGCATATTGGCAGTTTGTATTACACCGGCATTGCAACCTGACCGTCTGTTGGCAGAGCACATGCTGCTTGTTGCTGTGTTACATCGAACTGTCGACACGGATGTGGGCTGTCATTTCCTGGAGGAGCTGGTGAAGCACTTTGATTCGCTGCACAGACATAAAGGAGCAGCGAGCAGCACAGCTTCTGGGACTACTGCTGAATCAAGCAAGGAATGTGACAATGTTGTAGCCATGCTTGCTCATCTCTACCTCTTCAAGGTTGCACACTATTCTCTCATCATTGACATCATAAAGCGCTTACTGGGCCGCTTTCAGGATGAAGATATCACCATGCTGCTGCAGCTGCTGAAAACCTGTGGCGGGGATATTCGCAAGGACGACCCCAGTGCTCTCAAAGAGGTCATCTCTACAGTGAGAAGCAGGTCAAAGGATACCACGAGAGTTGATGAGTCGCGGATGCGGTTTACGATAGATGCGCTGATGGCAGTCTGTCACAACAACTTTCGCAAACTACCAGGTTACGATCCAGACTCAATACGGCACAGATCCCGTGTTTTACGCGGAATGTTACCTGGATCGGTAGCATTGGCGGACGCACAAATGCGTATTGGCTATGATGACCTGGCAAATGCACAGGAGAAAGGTCGCTGGTGGGTAGTTGGCTCTGCCTGGACTGGTCGCTCTACTTCAGCAAGGTCCACAGCGTCTGGCCAGCAACCAGCCAGTGACAGCCACGTTGTGCTGGATGAGAAGTTGTCGCAACTAGCTCGAGTGCAACACCTCAACACCGACCTGAGGAAAAACATCTTCGGAATACTGATGACATGTGAGGATGTCGTGGATGCCTTTCAGAAATTGCTTCGACTCAACTTGAAAGGTCAGCAAGAACGAGAGATAGTACATGTTGTTCTTCACTGCTGCTTCCAGGAAAAAGAGTTCAACATATTTTACGCTTGCCTATGTGCCAAGCTGGCAGCTTACAGCCGCAGCCACCAGATCACCATCAGATTGGCTATTTGGGACCGGCTCAAGTCGTTGGCATCGATGAACAAGCGCCAAACAGCTGTTTTGAGGAAACTGATGCTGCACTTCCTTCTGGAGAAAACACTGACGTTGGCATTGATCAAAAATGTTGATTTCTCACACCTGGATCCTGCATCTCTAAATTTCTTTCAAGATCTATTTGTTGATGCTGTGGTCAAGTATCCTCCTGGCTGCTTCCAGAAGATTGTGGAGAAGTCATCCTGCCCACCTCCGATTCATTTACCAGCTTTCTTGCGTTTTGTTGGCCGTCAGATTCAGGAAACTGGTTCCCAACTCCTTGCCGGTGGCAAGAATGCCAAATATGTTCGGCAGCAGCTCGAAGGTATTGCTGATGCATGCCGTTCTTAAGGCGTGCTGATGTCTGCTGTGCCGCTACTTGTATATAAGCAAACTGCTTTAGTTGTGTTGAGTTAGCTAGCTGCTTTGATCTTGTACATACCTGTGCATACTTGTACATACCTGTGCATACTTGTACATTTATGATCTCTTTTTAATACTTGTACATACATTATATGATCTCTTTTTTATATTTGTACATACATTTATTATCTCTTTTTAACGATTCAGTGATGATGGATAGCGGCCGAAGGGCCAGTTGAGACTTCTCTACGTAGCTGTTTTTCTAGTGCGGTGTTTTTTGTGCAGGGACTGTGACTAGAGCAGAGGGCAAGTTCCCAGGCCAGCATAATAATAATAGACATCTGTTTAGATTTTCCACACGTTTGCGACAACGGCTCTGGTCCCCTCACCAGTGAAGAAAGCGGAAAGATGCCATTCTCATTCAGGTACAGCCAGACCTTGCTTATCAGGTCCTCGCTTATCCAGATCCCTCGCCATCCGGAAGAAAAGTGTTGGTTACCGATTTACAGCATATGTCATGCATACATACAGTAAGTGTGTTCGATTATCCGGTTCCCTCGCCTATCCGAATATTTTGTGGAAAACGGACGTGTGCGGTTATGCGAGGTCTGGCTGTACAACCTGGATATGCCAAGTGCACAAGCAGTGAAACTTCAGTGGAACGTAATTTTACCGAGGGCCTTAGGTTCATAAAAGCCTGCATCTGTACACTGCTCCATACTCATACTAGCTATTAAATGTACGTTGTTCTATGTCCAATAATTATTGATTGGTATGGGTTGGGGTTCACCAAAATCATCACATCGCTGGCACGCTCCCGGAGTGCCCGTCAGGATCGCAACCTCTCCCGGATTGTTGCTATGCAAACCAGGGAAATGTGTGCCAAAACCATACAGTAAATCACCCGCGGTGAAGGCAAACAAAGTTGCGCAGTGTTCAACTTTTGCCGCCTGACCCAGCGCCGATCCTGTACACCTTTGAGCAAAAGTGGCATGCGAACCATGCACGCCGGTACCGGGACCCAGACTGTATCAACATCTCAAACCAAACTATCTTTGGTGGCACCGGGATGAGTTTTGCACGGTTGGATGCATTTTACAACAGTCATCGTCTATTCAGGGTGCTAAGTTGCTTCGAGATCGCACAGCCCAAGCTCGCATGCAGGCAAGCCACATGTCAACACAAACCGAAGGAAGTGCATGACTGTACTGTGTACAGGTGCAGCAAGTGAAGTCCGACACTTCGAAATCTGATGTCAACTTACTACTCCCTGGCTGTTTTTGACGTCATCACTTTCAAGCCCTATACTATAGAACGTACCCTGACTTTGTGCTTGGGGATCCCCCCCCCCCCCCTTGCGTAAGAGAAAAGGACTACTGTAAGGCCAGTTAGTGCAAAACGATAATTAGATACATGACAGTCATTTCCCCAATGACACCAATTTTATGACGCTCCATGTTACTCTATGTTACTCTGAAGTACTAACTTTGATCATTGGTTTGTAGAGCCCCATTCTCTAGGAGATATCTACATCTGCTCTGTTTCAATGTCCAGCATAAGCGAACGTGTGGGTCAAGCATAATTGCTTGGTTGACGCTGCCGCGGAAATGCGTATAATAATGACAGTCATTTGCTGGTTGACAGACAGAATCCGTTAGCATATCACCTCGCCTTTCCTCCTTTCACCTCGCCAACCAACAATAATCCGGGGCTGGGATCGCTTACTTTAATTGATGTTAAAAATATGTGTGGTCTTACAGTTCACTCAGGCACCGCATGTAGCACTGTGCGGGTAGTTTTTTTTACAAATACACAACTCACCGGCAGGCACATGGGGCTAGCATGGGGTGAGATGGTGCTGGTGGGGCTTGCCATGCTCGACCGACCAGAGGTCTCGGCATCTTCACATGGCAGGCGCACCAAATTCGGGAGGGAAGCATAAGCATGAGGGGAAAAAGCACGGGAGAAAATGAAAGATTTAGAACGAAGGAGAGGATCTAATTTTGGAACACAGCAGAAAATAGCAAAAATTAATAATCAAACAGATAATAGGAGTGAAAGGAGAGTGTCAAATGAAGGGTGCAATAGGGTAGCAGTGGAGATTGGCTACTCAGGATTGGCGACAATTAGGCTTGGGGTGGGAGAAGCAGGAGCATAATCCCGGAGGAGGCTAGAGGCGGTCGGTTGCCCAATCCCAGTCAGACTGCCTCAGGTGGTCATAGACCTTCTTCTTGAAGGTCTGCATCGACTTCTGGGAGGGGCGAGCACTGAGGATAGAGGCTGCATGGGAGGCAATTCCAGGTGTTCATCATACAGTGGGGGAAGGACCGAAGGACATTGTTCCGAGACTGAGGTGGGACAGTCTTGGTCAGCTGGAACGGATGGTGGCTCGCAATTGTGCGCACGCTGGCTCGGGTGCGGGCTGGAGCTGGCAGGGGTAGGAGGGCTGTGATCATGGCAGGGCCAGTCAGATAGTGGAGCTCGAACAGGTAGCAGAGAGCAGCAACAGAGCGACGGATGTCCAGGCTGGGCAGGTAGCAGCCATCGCCAATGACGTGGAGTGCCCTACGTTGGATGGCTGTGTGCTTGGCTAGTGTGGAGGGTGCTGCGCTCATCCATACCAGCATCCCATACTCCAGGATCGGCTGAACAAACCCACGGTATACTACGGCACGGCATCGTGGGTTGAGAGCCATGGCAGGCTTGCGGAAGAAGCCGAGTCAATGCGCACCGCGTATTGCGAGGGACCGTATGTGCTGCTTGAAGCATAGCTGGCTGTCAAATAATACTCCTAACAGGCGGAGCTGATCCACCTCAGGTACGTCTGTCCCCTGGAATGTGATAGAGGGAACTGGGTGGTGGGATCGTCGGTGGGTGATCGTGAGGGCTTGTGACTTTGTCGGCTCAAACCTGATTCGCCAGAGGGTGCCCCAGTCGGCAAGTGCGTCAACAGCCTGCTGGAGCGTTGCGACTCCATCTGGGATATTGGCTCGGGTTGTGATACACTTATACGTCCGCATATACTGCGAGTTTAGCCTCTTCAGGTAGGTGGTCCTCTGCGTCGTTGATGTAGATCAGGAAGAGCGTTGGGCCGAGGATGCTGCCCTGCGGCACCCCTGACTGGATGTCACGGGTAGTAGAGGCCTGGCCACCTACGACAACTCTGATCTTGCAGCTAGTGAGATAGCTCTGCAGCCAACAAAGCAGGGACCCTTTGACACCGTATTGCTCTGCCTTGTGAAGGACTCCTGGGTGTGAGACCTTGTCGAAGGCCCCAGCGATATCCACTGCGAGCATCCTGACAAGGCCTCCCTGGGCAGCTGTCTGGTGCCATTCATGCTGGAGTGCGATCAGAAGATCTGATGTGCCAAGTCCGGCGCGGAAGCCGAATTAGCGCGACGACAGGATAGAATTCTTCTCCAGGAAGTTGGACAGACCACGGTTGATTATCGACTCCATGCATTTGGACATGACAGACAACAGGGAAATTGGTCGGTAACTCTTGGGATTGGACTTTGACCCTTTTTTGTGAACAGGCACAACATTTGCAAGTTTCCAGGTTTCAGGTTGATAGCCATTGCGGAAGCACAGGGCAAATAGCCGGGAAAGTGGGAGAGCCAACGGTTCGGCGCAGATCTTCAGGACCCTGGCAGGTATTGAGTCAGGTCCAGTGGCCTTGCTGGGGTTGAGAGCAAGCAGGGTGCGGCGGACTGTGGCTGGGCGGAAGTGGATTGTAGCATGGGCGTAGGAACCGGGCCTGCTGTCGCCGGACCAATAATTTTCGAATTTTTTTACATTTCAACCTTGTTGATGGCTTGTCGACTCTTGTACAGGTACCATGTTTTACATCGACAATGCGGTGTATCATCAGCATGCATATTCTTATTTCTCATATTATTCTGTAGCATTAAAATATGGCCTTTTAGGCCCAATTTTCAAAAAAAATCCCGGGGGAGGACCCCGGACCCCCTCTCACAATTTCGCCGCACCAATATTAAACTGCTTCCTACGCCCCTCTGTAGTGAGCGAGTTCTGGGAGCGTGGGCGAACAGGGGGCATTGTGCAGAAGGTGTCAAAGTCATTCTCAAGGCTGCATATATCAGCGAAGGACTGGCATATGAGTTCGGCCTTCTCGGTATTTCTGGTGTGCTCATTGCCTTGGCTGTCGACGAGAACTGGGATAGAGCTGTCTCTACCAAGCCCTCCGGAGCGCTTGATCAGGCTCCACCACTCCTTATCCTGGAGGCTGCCTGTTGCAAGCTTCGCTCTGGTGCGCTGGAGATGTGCTTGCTTAGCGCTGGATAGTCTCTGCACAGAAGCCAAGCATGCCCGTCTATACTCTGCCTGAAGAACAGGATGGGTCGAGTGCTTGCGGAGTCGGCGGCATGCCTGACGTTTGGTGGTAACAGCAGCTGAGCATTCGGGAGTCCACCAGCTAGGGTCTCCTGGTCGCGTCTTCAGGACTTTCGTTGGGATGAACCGTCCCATGCCCTCAAAAATACGCCTAGTTACATTACTGCAGGAGGATTCAGGATCATCAGTGATCAGTTCGTTCCACGCGGTTGCTCGGTAGAAGGCTGTGAGCCGAGGCCAATCAGCACGTTGGTAACGCCAAACGGTCCGGGTGGCTGGCAGATCATGGGATGGAGTTAGCTGGAAGTCGGCGGTGATTACTGCATGGTCTGATCGACCAAGGGGTGGGTACATGGTGGTTTTAACTAGTGGTGTGCACGGGTAGTCGGGTACCCGTGCTACCTGTGAGGACCTCGGGTAGACGGGTACCGAATAGTACCCGAAAACCCGAAGTCGCAGATGACATCATGTACAGTGCACATGTACAAATAATTCACGCATGTCTACCCAGTGCGCAAGGGAAGGTGCCGGTGTGCATTGTGGTCTTACCATGGAAACAATTACCCGATCGGGTACCCGTGCTACCCGTGGAAAACTACCCGGACCCGATACCCGAAGAAAATGCTACCCGACTCAGCCCTATTTTTTACCGCACCGGAGACATCCGACATGACTAAGTCAAGGGTGTTCCCGCCTCGAGTGGGCTCTGACACATGCTGCTCAAGGTTGTGGATGTAGCACAGGTCTTCAGCGGCTTCTCCGGCTGCTGTTGTGCGGCTGCTGTTGTGCGGCTGCTGCCAAGCCATTCATGGTTGTGGACATTAAAATTGCCTGCCACGACAATGTGGGAGCAGGACTGGCGGGCAATGTCAATATCAGATTCGAGCTGTGTGAACATAGTCGTATCATGGTCAGGGCAGGTTCCAGGCAGGTAAGCTGCACATACTGCCATTCGTGTTCCTGTGTGGGTGGTGATGCTGACCCAAAGGACCTCCTGGTCCGCAGTGTTTATATTAAGTTCTTTATAGGGGATACCAATCTTCAGCCAGATGGCTACACCTCCGCCCTGTGCCGTTCTGTCCCGACGTATACAAGTAGGTGGGTAGTAACCTGGGATTGTTACCTCTGCTTGGGTGGCTTTCTCCGGGGAGAGCTTTGTCTCTGTGACGATGGCCATGTCCACATCAACGTGCGTTAGCAAGTGTTGGAGTTCTCCAATTTTGTTGTAGACGCTAAAGGCGTTTGTCAGCAGCAGGCGTAGCGGTTTGGCACACATCATGCTTGTTGGCAGCCTTCTGTAGATCTGGTCTGGCTGCGGGTG